TCTTGAAACAATTCTGTATATCTAATGCAAAGTCAACTAATGTGCCTCTAGCTTCTCACTTTGTGCTAAGCAAAGATCAATGTCCTAAGTCTGAATCTGATATGAATTACATGAAAGATGTGTCATATTCGAATGCTATAGGCTCTGTGATGTACTTGATGATTTGCACTAGACCTGATATTGCATATTCTGTGAGTTGTTTGAGTCGTTTCATGTCTAATCCTAAAACTGAATATTGGAATGCAGTCAAGTGGTTATTTAGATATTTGTGTGGTTCTAGTAACCTAGGGCTAAAATTTGAAAAATGTGTTGAAGCAGTAAAATTGAAAGGTTATATGGACTCTAATTATGCTAACGATAGAGACAATAGAAAATCTACATCATCCTATGTGTTTACTTTGTGTGGCTCATGCATAAGTTGGAAATCACAACTCCAACATATTGTTGCTCTATCTACTACTGAATCAAAATATGTTGCAATAACTGATGCTCTAAAGAAAGCGTTGTGGCTAAAAAGTTTGCTTTCTGAAATTGAAATACTGCGTGACAATGAGACAGTCTATTCTGATAGTCAGTCTGGAATCCAATTATGCAAGAATCCTGTTTTTCATGATAGAACCAAGCACATAGATGTTAGGTTTCATTTTACAAGGGACATAGTTGCAAAAGGGTCAGTTAAGCTTGAAAAAATACCTTCTCAATTTAACCATGTTGATATGGGAACCAAATGTATGCCTGTTTCCAAGCTTCAATCATGTTTAAATATGTTAAATTTTGATACATTGGATTAGAACCGTGTCTGCTCTTCATTGATAGCATGTATTATTTCTCTGTAATTAATATATGCCCTACAGAGTTGACTCTGTGTTGAGATTGCAGGAATAATAGCGATTATGATAGCATGTTCCCACTCTCGATTGCCCTCCAATGTAACCACGAGGGTCGACTAGAAACAAGGTAGAGATTGTTGGTGTGTTTCAACGTCGACCCACATCAAAACCCAGATCCGACCCGACCCGGTCCGACCCGAACCAGAACCAATCAGGTTAGACGGTGAAGTGGACTGGGTGGCATTGGGCATTGGCTGTGGTGGTGGGCTCGCCCTCGTGACCTGCGGATGTGCCTTGTGTCAAAAGTCTCCTGGTGGTGTTTGGTCGGTCCCGATTGAGGTGGTCAGGCAGCGGGTTCCTTTGTGATAGGCGGTACAAGGTGGGCAGAAAAGTCCATTAGTTAGTCCTTGGTTTGAGGGGAGGATTGTTGGGGTGCAAACCCAAGTCCCACATCGGAAGTTGTGAAGAAAATTTCACACCTTATAAGTCCCAAGTGAACTCCACTAGTATGAGGTCTTTTGGAGGATATCCAAAAACAAATTCGTGCGGGCTCAGTCCAAAGCGGACAATATCATACTAGTGTTGAGTTGGCCCAATCCCAACATATACAATTACTTTATACACAAATTAAAAGGCAAAAATATCAAAATTTCTTTGATATTTTCATAAACTAATAAAATATTATTATTCTTATTTTTTTTCCGATGCATAATGTATATCTAAAAAATAATGATATTTATATTTGTACAATAATAATAATAAATATGTATAATTTTATAGTGATATAGTTATTTATAATAAGATGACAATTGATTTGGAATGTAAATAGTATATAAATGAAATAATAGATATGAAAAGGATAGACATAGTTATAACTAATTAAGTCGAGATGATGCTGATTTTTTTAGTTAGCACATATAAAATAACTAAATAATACATTTTCTTTATTGAATATAATGCAAGTTGTGTTAAATAAAAGTATATAAGTGTGATATATTAATATAATTATTAAATTATATATACTCAATTCTCCCATTACCTCATCAATTTTTATTATAATAATATTTATTGTTTCTACTAAGAAATACAGTTAATATACAATTATTATTTTCGTGAAGAATTTATTACCTCTAATAAAAATCATAAATAATTATTATTTAATTAATTATTATTCAAATTTTAAAATTAAAAAAATTTAAAAATTTTAAATTATCATAATTATTTACACAAATACAATCAAAATTTATGTTAAAATATCATGTTCACCTACATAATTTTTTAATTATATATATATATTCAATTTCAACATTTATTATTTTCTTAAATTTTCATATTAATCTTTCTTCATTTTAATAAAATTTTTGGAAATAATTTTTTTCAGACAATGTATTAATCTAAGTTAATTTCAATCATTCAATTCTTTAAATGTCATTTATTTCACAAATTCGAATAATTTTAATATTTTAAAATAATAATAGAAATTATATAATATTATAAAAAATTATATAAATTAATATTTTTAAATTAAAATATAATATTATATACTCCCTCCGTCCCTTAACAATCTATCCATTTTTCAATTTTGGTATGTCCCATAACAAAGTATCCATTTCTTTTTTTTTTATTTTTTAGTAGTTATATTATCTACCTAATGTTACAAATATCCTTCCAATTTACAATATATTATATAAATGTCATTACATTTATATCATACAATACTAATAAGGATAGTTTAGTTTTTTTATCTTTATTTCTACTACATTCCAATATAATGTCAATATTTTTAAAATTTCGTGCAAAATGTAAATGGATATATAGATATAGGACGAAAAGAGTAATACATATTATTTATATATTATTAAACAATAAAAATATATAAGTATAAATAATTATTCTAAATTTATAAAATTATAAAGGTAATGTAGAGAAAATGATGATGCTACAAAGGATATTAAAATAAGTTATTTGAATGTTGACGTGAATATGATATGGACAAAAATAATAATAAAAGTAATGAAAGAGACACTTACCGTAACGTATACTCTGATATGTAAGATTGTTAGATATATTTTCAACTCATACGATGTTTTTATATAATATTAACATAATTTGTATTTTTTTTTATTATTTTATATTTTATACTCCCTTTCGTAATAGAAAGGTTACCGTTTATTTTTTGTACATAAATTTTTTAATATTAGTATTATATTGGATTGTAGTGAAAATGACAAAAATACTCTTATTAGTAGTGTGTAATATAAAGTAATGATATTTGTGTAATAATAGTGTAAGTTGGAAATGTACTTACTCCCTCCGTGCCATTGGAAGAGTGGCGTTTGTTTTTTGCACTTAAATTTTTTAATATTAGTATTATATTGGATTGTAGTAAAAAAGACAAAAATATCCCTATTAGTATGATGGAATATAAAAGTAATGGCATTTATGTAATATATTGTAAATTGAAAAAGTACTTATGATGTTAAGTAAGTAATACAATTACTAAATTAGGAAATGATAATCTTGTTTTAGGACGGACGAAAATAAAAAATGATAACCTTACAATAGGACGGAGGAGTATTATTTTAGATAGTTAGTACAATTACTAAATTAGGAAACGGTAACCTTGTTTTAAGACGGACGAAAATTAAAAATGACAATATTTCAGTGGGACGGAGGAAGTATTTTATATAGTACGAGAATATTTCATATATTTTCAGTCATATGCCGTATTTGTTTATATTAACATAATTATATAGTATTTATCTTTATATGATATATTATCTATCTTTATATGGTTTGTTGTCGGATTAATGTGTTTTGTTTAGTATTATGTTAATATATCTTTATATAATATTTTGTAACTTCATATATTATATTTATATTATGTTAATAATTTATATTTCTTTTATTTTAATTCAAAGTATTTTTTTTATTATTTCACCCGTCCACTCAAAAGTTTTTAGTTTTTATTTTAGTAAAAGTAATTATACATTAATATTTAAATACGTTTAATTTTTACTTAAATTATAATTATTATATTACAAATACAATTACTTTATATACAAAACATCAAATCTCTTATACATTTCTATTTATTAATAAAATATTACTCTCTCCATCTCAGAACTATAGTCTGGGTTGTGTTTGGCACAGAGTGAATAAAAAGTACGGGTAAAAGACTATTTTGCCTTTGTTTGTGAGTGTATTAGTGTAAAAAGTACGAGCAATTGTGTAATAATAATGAAAAAAATAATTATAGTTTTATAGTGATATGATTATTTATGGAAATGAGACTATTGTTTTTTGGCAGATAAAAATAGTAAACAAGACTATTGTATTGGGACAAGAGAGTGTTATTTTTAAATTTATTATAAAACTTAAAAGATTACATTCAAGTGGAACCGAAAGAGTCAAGTATTTTGGCTTGTGTTTCTAGTCTATACTGTCTCTTACTGAGGGTGGGCACGGTTCGGATATTTGCAAATATACAGATATTTGATATCCGAATCAAAAAAATATCCGAAATAGTGAACTGTATCCGAACCGAAAATTTTCGATTAACCAAAAATATTTGCAATACTTGCAAATATTTCGAATCGAACCGAATTAAAAAATAATATATTAAAAAATAATTTAAATTCTAATTAAATCAAAATATTTATAAATATTTCAAATATTTGAATCGAAACTGAACCCGAGCCGAATATAATTATTAATATAAATTTCAAAATATAATAATATAAATATATAAATAAATTCACTGAACCAAAAAAAATATCAAGAATTGAAATCGAACCGAACCGAATAAATATCAAATATGTCGTATTTGTATTCGAACCGAATTTACTCGGTTAACCAAAAATTCGATTCGGTTAAATTCGATCCAGCGGTTCGACGGTTTGGTTCGGATTTTTTGTCACACACCCCTTGTCTCTACTTATGCTGTTGTCTTGTCGTAAGCATGTCAATAACTACAGTTGGGATGGAAAAAAAAAAAAGTAAAAAATTAAGTCGGATTCTAATATTATATTAAAAATATATATAGAATCAAAATTATTTAATTAAAAAAAGAAAAAAGAAAGAATTGTTGGCAACGTTAATTAATGAAAACCGTTACACGGCCAACCCTATGTATATATATATATATGTATGTATATGTAATGCCATTATTCACGCAGTCCTGTCTGCCAGCCAAATCATTTACATCACCATTACCATTAGCATTGAATAATAATCAATGGCGTCTTCTGACGAGGAAGGGGAGGAGTACTTGTTCAAAATCGTGATAATCGGCGACTCCGCCGTGGGCAAATCCAATCTGCTGTCGCGTTACGCCAGGAATGAGTTCAACCTCCACTCCAAGGCCACCATCGGGGTCGAATTCCAGACGCAATCCCTCGAGATCGACGGAAAGGAGGTTAAGGCTCAGATTTGGGACACCGCCGGACAGGAGAGATTCCGAGCCGTCACATCGGCGTACTACCGCGGCGCTTTCGGTGCTCTCGTCGTCTACGACATCAGCAGACGCTCCACCTTCGAAAGCATTCCCCGATGGCTCGACGAGCTCAAGAGTAACTAGGCTATGCTTTTCTCCTTTTTGATTAATTGCTTTATTGATTCCTATTAGCTATTCCTTCTCATTTCGTTTCAATTCAATTGTTCTTCCTTCCGATTAGGTTATCTGGAAATTGATCGATATATATAGCTTGTATTATCTGAGAATTGTGGATTGGAGCCAGCCAGATCTGAATTTTGTACTGTTCAAGCCTTGAATTAAATTTTTAACACTGAAAGTGACAGTACTGGTGCGACTTGGGTGGACTCTCTTGAGTCAACTTTGAGTTTCATACCATTTTTTGCTTAGTTAGGTGCTTGTGAATATTTTGATCCCTTCCATGGTCTGTAAATGTTTACAGATACTTGTTTGATGGATACACCATCCTGCATTCATGTTTAACCTTTTTTTCTTTTTTGCACTTTACAAATTCAATGGCAACTTTCTTTAGCAATTGCTGATTAGATTCATACTGTGACTGTGAGCATGTGTATAGGAATAGGAATAGGAATATTGTAATAGAAAGGGATGATTGTATTAAGCTGCATTAGTTTGATGGTATCCAATTCTTGCAGCACATTCCGATACAACAGTTGGTAGGATGCTCGTGGGGAATAAATGCGATCTAGAGAATATCCGGTCTGTGAGCGTGGAGGAAGGCAAGACTCTTGCAGAGTCGGAGGGGCTATTTTTCATGGAAACCTCTGCCTTGGACTCGACAAATGTTAAAAAGGCTTTTGAAGTGGTCATCCGCGAGATATACAATAATGTGAGCAGGAAGGTCTTGAATTCTGATTCTTACAAAGCAGCATTATCCGTCAACCGAGTCTCCATTGTCAATGATGGCAAAGATGATGATGATGATGATGAAGAACACAAGCCCGGCAGGAGATCCTCTTCTTGTTGTTAGAGGTCAGACTGAATCCATTATCAATCCTTTCCTTTGATCTATTTATCAATTTGTTGCTTCTTTCATTAGTTGAACTTGAACAAACTCATCTCTACTCTCAAAATTTTTCTTTGTTCTTGAATTGTAAATTATGTGTTTTTGATTGTCATACTCTACTCATCATACTTATTGAGTTTGTGCTTTTTCTTCTTCTTTTTTTTTTTTTTTTTTTTTATATTCATTTGGGTTATTTTGAATTTATCTATATATTATATATATATATATATGCATATATCTCTCTCATTATGTATTTATTTGAGTTCATTTGAGTATTGTGGACAATTTGATTTCTAAGTGTGATATATGAAACCCTTCATAGGTTGCAATTGATATTTGGAAGATAGTATAAAGATGGGTTTTGGATTTTGATTTAAATAAATTATTGGATTTAATATTTTGTGAAAAATATAGATATACAGGAGATTTGCTAAATTAAGTGTGTTGGTGATATTAAGAGGTGTCTCTGCTAGGTCATTGGTTAGTTGTAAAGCTATTTTTGAATTATCCAATACGAATAAACTAATTTAGGACATGGTGGTTATTTCTTTTTTAAGGACATGAATGGGCCTATACAACATAAAGTAGTCACACATCCACATCCATTTTTTATGGTGTTATATAGAGTCAAAACAATATTAAAAAAAAAAAAGGGTAATTTATACAATACCCTCACGTGTTTTAGTAAAAATGCACAAAATACCTTATGTTTTATTTATTGCGTGAAATTTTTTTGTGTTAATGTAAAGTTTGCACGAAATACCGTCTTGTCCAAATCTGATATTTGGTTATAATAAAAGACCTAAATTAAGCAAATTTTGTACAAATAAAAAACATAAAATATTTTAAATAATTTTTTTTGAATAAAAAAATAAACAAATAATTGATCAATTATTTATTTTTATAGCTTTTATAAAAATCATATAATAATTTGTTTTCAAAAACTATAAAATGAAAGATTAATTAATTATTTTATTATTTATTTTATTCAAAAAAAATATTTAAGATATTTTGTATTTTTTATTTGTATTAAACTTGTATAATTTAGGTTTTTATTTGAAATCAAATATCAGTTTTGGACAATAAAATTATTTCGTGCAAATTTTATATTAACACAAATCCGCAATAAATATAAGATATTTTGTGTATTTTTAGTAAAACACAAGAGTAAGATATACTTTACCAAAAAAAAAAAAAAATTGTGTAGAAATTGAAGAGGAACACACCCTTTGTTCCATATTGCATAGTTTACTATGCAATTTGATTGAATATCATATAATTATTTGATTGAATATCATATTTTTACTAATAGCCCATGCTATTTTATCAAAGCAATATAAAAATCATTCTACTATTTTAACATGCTTTTGTGACAAGAATACATTTTATACTGGGATGGGCGATGGTACGGAGGTAAATTCGTAATCGTAAAGTTATGAATTTAAACCTCCGAAGACTCCAGGTCTATTTATCACATATAATTCGCCTAGTATAACTTATTTTGTCGGACTTAATTGCAGAGTATTAAGTTTGACCGGAGTTTATTCATAGTGCATTCGACAAATAGGGCCGCAGCAAATTCACATATTACCATAAAGGAAAAAAAAAAAGAATACATTTTATATTTATAAAGTTTACAAAATTTTACATTATTTTAAATATGTTTTTATCAAACTAACATAAATAAACCAACTTGACAACTAATTCAAATACAAATAGATATAAATTAATGATAGTACTAATTCTAAAGACTACTTAATATACCCCAACAATTCATATAATCCTCCCGACTTGTGTTAAGATATATGTTTATTTTTTTAAGCCGAGTTTTAAGAATTATATTATTTTAATTTTAGCTGATAGTAAACAGTAATATAAAAATAACTTTATCTTTTATCTTTTTTGTGTAAAAATAACGATATAATGATGAAATGGAGATATTCAATATATATATATATATATATAGCAACTAATGAAAATGAAAAAATTGTATAAGTAACGAGAGTGTAACATGTATTAGATAAACATTGTATTATTAATTTAATATTTTATATCTATATTTGAAGTATTAAGACTGAATGATATTCATTAGGGTGTGTTTGGTTGGAGGTTTGAATTTTGAGTTTGAATAGTAAAAATTTTGAATTTGAATAGTTGTATGATGTGATATAAATAGGTGTTGATGTGATATTTTGAATGTAAAATTAATTTTTAGTATAATATAAAAAATAAAAAATAGATGTTTGATTTAATATTTTTTGGATAAAAAAATTGAATGAATAGTATAAATCCAATCCTCCAAACAAACACACCCTAAACATACTCAAACAGTACCAAACACTATGATTAAAAAAAAAAAACAAGAATTGACTTATGACTACTTCCAAATATGAAACCAACAACTAAACATCACATTCACCACTTCCCCCTTCACCATCATCTTCTAACCCCACGCGTAACCACCCCCCCCAACAACCTTCTAGAAGCCCCGTTTCCATTACCCGACAACATAATCCCCCCCTTTCTTTGTCCGAAAATGACATATTAACCCAAACACAAAACACAAAATAATGTCAATGAAAAAACAAAAACAATGCACGATACATACCACATTATATTGATGGTAGCCAGCCAGCCAGCCAGCGCATCCGCAACGATCGATTCTATCTTGACAAAAAAATGATCATTTAGACGACCTCCAATTTCTTGCCATTTCGAATCCATTCCTCCCATAGTAATAGTCCTCAATGGTCCTGTCAATCTCCCCCTGTGTGTTCATCACAAAGGGGCCGTGCTGGACCACCGGCTCCCCGATCGGCTGCCCCCCGACCAATATGAAACGCACCGCCTCCTCCGATCCGTTCCATGCACTCAGCCCTTCTCCCGGGCCGAGAACCAGCATGTGGTGCGCGCCGCAAGGCTGCGCATCAGGTGCCCCGAACACGCCTTCCCCTTGGAGGATGTACACGAAGGCATTCCAAGACTCCGGGATTGGTTGGTGGCATTGGGAGTTGGGTTGGAGGGTGAAATCCAGGTACATTGTCGGGGTGCGTGTGTAAACCGGAGAATGTGCCCCCATTGCCTCGCCGGCGATCACTTTTACTTCCACCCCGTCTTTCTCCGCCTTGGGGATTTCGTTGCTCAGCAGCTCTTGGTACCGAGCCTCCATCCTAAATTCAACAGCATATACAAGAATCAGTAAAAATAAATTCTTAAAACTTGAGAAAAATAACTATTTTTTTTTTTTAAGTATATTTACTATTTTTTTTAGGTTAAATATAAAAAAAATCAATATATTCTTTTAGGCTAAATATCACATTTTATCCTTGGAAGAGAGATTGATCCATAGCTGGAGGCCTTTATGTGTGCCTTCTCCAGCAGGCATTTCCGAGTGCACAATGCCCCTCCCGGCCGTCATCCACTGCAGCATCAAACCAACACGAGCCATAAAATCAGAAGACTAAGATCAACAGGATACCTTACATTTCTATCAGTTACCTGAACTTCACCGGCATGTATCGTGCCCTTGTGCCCGGAGAAATCTTGATGAGTAATACCCCCCTGTATAGAAACACAAGATCATGTAGGCGAAACCAACCAAATTAAACCACTTCTCAATCTGTAACAATTACCTGCAGCACATATGTAACAGTCTCGAAACCTGTAAGAAACAACAAACACCATTTTAACCTTTTAAGTATATCAAAATGCATGAAGAAGAAGAGGTTTAGTACAAGATTGCTCGACTACCTCGATGTGGATGGTCAGGGAATCCGGCAGGAGGGCAAACTGTAAAGTATCGTCGATCATAAAAAGTTTTCGAATCAGTGCTTATTTGAAGATACTGGGGTAAGTACGGAATAAGGAAAATGTTTATGAGAGAATTGAGCAGATGACTGGAAAAATTACCAGCAAATTCATCTAGCATGAGGAAAGGATCTAATGATTTCAACTCTGGCCTGCAAATTATGAACACTACATTAATCCGCCGGAATTGAAATGAATTCAGATTTTCGATTTTGGTGTATATTACGGAATATATGCGTATCTATACTGATTTAAGGAACAGAGTAGCTACTAAAATTAGGGAATTATCAGTCAATCAGTTAAACGACAGATACTTGGTAGAATTTGAATCCATTGGATACAACAAACCTAATTTTGGATAATCGTGAAAACAGAGAAGATTCAAGTGAAAAAAATTCGTCTAAACTGTAAATTTCCGATTTGAATCGCAACTTCTTTTCCAATGGATGTGATACTAATCATAGGAACATATTACGTCCTCAAAAACGACAGTGAAATTCAAAGAGAGTTAAGAACTAAAAGCGCCTCAAGTCTCAAGAAATGCACAAATTCGACTCAAAACCGTTAATGAAGAGGGAAAATCAATGGAAGAGACGGAAATTAAAAGGAGAAATGAATCATCGTCCTTCTGACCTGCCAATGCTTCTTCTGACGACTGCGCCGACGCCTTCGCTCTGCGATTTGGCGAGAATCTTCTTCGCCACTAATCTCGGCTGCTCGAACCCCAACCTTCCATCTCCAGAAGCTCCAGACATGGCGACGATGCTCCTCCGTTGAAGTACTCCTGAAACCTGTTTGATTTTACTTGAACGGAGATTAAACAATACAAAATCTCTGCATACAGAGATCATATATATATATATATGATAATATAGAACAGGCTGTTGTCGATCAGATCACGGAGATTGGTGACGATGAATAATCTCGCTTCCGATTCAACGCTCGCTCAATCCACATGTATATATACTCACTTTCTATATATATTACTCACTCGCACCCTATTTTTCTATTTTCTATTTTGGTCGGATACTTCTTTCTTTTCTTTTTTTTTTTTCTTTTTTCTTTTTTTTTTTTATAAATACAATTATACATTTTAATTATATTTTAAATTTTAAATCTTTTTAAATTTTAATTAAATTATTTAATTATTTAATTATTTTTACTATACAGTAATTATTTTTAGTGATACACTTAAAAATTATACACCCATATTATATGTAACAAATGGAGTATATTTTATAAATACTAGTTTCGTACGGCCTGCCACGTAAAAATACAAATCTACCCTCCGGTCATTTCTTACTCATATTCTATCATCGTCTTCTCGTGTACTCCTTAGTCAAAATCCAGCCATTGAATTCTTTATCTCCCGTTCAACTACGCTGCCATCAAAACCGGTCGGCTACAGTTAAAAAGTCCTCCTTATTTCCTCTTTTGCCTCTGCTAGGAGAAGATTTGCAATCATACGCCGACTAATTTGTCGTAGTTCTTTATCTTTTTTATTTTGAGATTGGTTTCCGATGATTCCGCTAGGGTTTCTGGGAGCCTCTTTGTGTGCTCAGATTTGTCAAATATTTTAACTATATCAATTTTTTTAAATTCAAAATATTTTTAAAAAAATATAAAATAAGATAAAATTTTATACCAAAATACACAGCTGTGTAGAATTATACGTAACCGTAACAACATGGCAATATATAATTGTACACTGAAATATACATGGTCGTGTGACAATAAGACCGTGTATAATTGTGCATGGCCGTGTAGTTTCCAAGTGAGCTGCCACGTCAACTCTGTTATGTCTACATCAGCAATTTTCGTTAGTTTTTTAACGGTGAGACCAAAATTGATTGAAGTTTTTTATAATAAGACCAAAATTGATTGAAATTGTTTATAATAAGACTAAAATTGATAAGGTTTTTTATATTATGACCAAAATTGATAAATTTTAATTATATTGGAACCAAAAATGATTTTTTTCCGAATTGAAATAATTGTATGATGTGATATAAATAAGTATTGATGTGATATTTTAAATATAAATTTGATTTTTAGAATATAAAAAATAAAAAATAGGTGTTTTATTTGATTTTTTAAAAAACCAAAAATTGGATGAATAGCAGATTTTTTAGATTCCTCAAACAAACACACGCGGCCAAATAGACTATTTACAATGGAACTCATAGTTTGTGTTTTCTTGTGAATTTATTACAAGATTTTTATTTGTTTAGTTTTTATTTTTTTCAAAATATTAAATCAAATAATTATTTTTTATTTTTATATTACTTTAAAAATTAATTTTTATGTTCAAAAAATTATATCAAATAATTATTCAAATTCAAATTTTTACTATTAAAAAAATCCAATCTAAAATTCAAATTCACGGACGAACACATCCATAAAGTTTATAATTGAAACATATACTCCCTTCCTCCATCAATAATATATTATTCCTTTGCTTTTTTACGTTACTGTACTAAATTTAACATTAAAAATATTCTTATATATTATCATTATTTTTGTATTATATAACAATAATAAAAATATTTTTGTTATCTTTTTATCGTAATATGTATTTATTTATTAATATAATATTAATATTCAAAATTCTACACCTCAAAAGCAAATAGATGTTTATTTAAGGAGATGTGGTATAGTATATTATTTTTTCTAATACAATACGATATCAAATTACTATTTAATTTTAAAAAATAAATAAAAATTTTAAATCCGTAAACAACTTAAATTAAACCAAATCTATTTTTACAGTTTGATGATTTTATTTCAATTACATATAATGCAATCTCTGCAATTATTTATAAAAATATATTATATTTTTTTAAATATAAAATATCTCATTCAAATTATTATTTAAATAAGAAAATCAAAATCAAAATCAAATTTCAGAAAATAAAAAAAGGAAATTTAAATTATGAAGGCTTATATTATTTAAACAAAAAAATTAAAATTAAATTTAAAAAAGAAAAGAAAAAAAAAACACTTTAAATTATGAGTGCTTATATTATTTAAATAAAAAAAATCTAAATCAAATTTCAAAAAAAAAATATATATATATATATACTTTAAAATTATGAACGCTTATACTATCTCCGTCTCACGTAGCGTCTCTGTTACACTATAAATACGGTATTTTAGGAGTGATGTAATTAATAAATAATTAAGAATGTATTAGTAAAAATAATTATCCTATAATATAAATAATTATAAATTAAGATTAAGATAACTAATTAGTTTAATTAAAATTTAAAAAAAAAATTAAAAAGTTTAAAATGAGATTAAAGTGTATAATCATTTTCCAAAAAACTAAAGTGACATGGTATGTGGGACGGACATAAACGACAACGTGGACATAATATGTGGGACGGAGAGAGTATTATTTAAACAAAAATAAATTAAAATCAAATTTCAAAAAAAAAAAAAAGATATATACTTTAAAATTATGAACGCTTATATTATTTAAACAAAAATAAATTTAAATCAAATTTAAAAAAAAAAAAAAAAAAAAAAACAAACAAACAAACAAACAAACACTTTAAATTTTGAAGGCTTATAATAAAACAAATATAACAATTCCACATTATTGTTATGTAATATGTACGTAGCGACTACGTTGCCTTTTTATTGTATGCTTTTCTCTTCCTTCGGAACAAGGTTTTTACACCTATAAATAGGTGTTAATTGTTGGAATAAGGAGACACAACAACACACAATTCATCCTCTTAAACTCTCTGTCCTTGTGTCCATCTATCTGTACTATATTATTATTTTTTCGTCCCAAATATCATGTCCGCGTTTTCGTTTCTGTCCGTTCTACATATCATGTCACTTTCTTTTTTTAGAAAATGATTACACACTTTAATCTCATTTTAAATTTTTAAATTTTTTTTTAATTTTAATTAAACTAATTAGTTATCTTAATCTTAATTTATAATTATTTATATTATAGAATAATTATTTTCACTAATACATTCTTAATTATCTACTAATTACATCCCTCCTAAAATACTGTGTCTACAGTGTAGCAGACACGGTATCTGGAACGGAGGAAGTAATATATAAATATTACGGAGTATATACTAATATACAAGTACTTATACATATATATATATATACTTACCATTATTATTATATTATTATATAACATAAAATTTATCGTATAATTTCATTTGGTCAAATAATGCATAAAATTATACTCTCTTTTTCGTTCCAATACAATAGTCTTATTTACCATTTTTGTCTGTTCCAAAACAATAGTTTTATTTTCATAAATAACCATATCACCGTAAAACTATCCCTACTTTTTCATTTTTATTACACAATTGTCATTACTTTTTACACTAATATACTCACATGGCAAAAAAAAAATCTATTATCCATATATTTTACCAACTACCAATATAATATCAATATTTTTTAAATCTCGTATCCCATCCAATTAAGACAATTTATTATATAACTCCACAATCATCATTAGAGTCGTTGATTTGGGTTTATTTAGGGTGTGTTTGTTTGAAGGATTTTGGAGGATTTCCACTATTCATCCAATTTTTTCCCCCCAAAAACATCAAATCAAACACCTATTTTTCATTTTTTATATTATACTAAAAATCAATTTTACATTCAAAACATCACATCAAACCCTATTTATATCACATCATACAACTATTCAAATTCAAAATTTTTACTATTCAAATCCCAATCCAAAATCCAAACCCCCAAACAAACACACCCTTAAAATATATATATATAATATATAAATTTTTCGCCTACCTCTCTCTTATGTTGTTACAATTCTCAATTAATATTATAAAAATATATATATAATATATATTCGTGCACGATATATAATATATATTTTTTGTTCTTTAATAATTTATTTATTTATGTTTATCATATAAATTTAAATATATTAGTATTTTATTAAATTTTAGTATAAATGGTGTATATAAAAGTAATTTTGCTCTAATTTTTTTTTATAAAAATAATAATACAATGATAAAGTAAAAAAAAAAAAGTATTTTTTTATTTATATGAAATGTTATTTTACTAAAAAAAGAAAAAAAATAAAATAAGAAGATTTGAGTTGACAGACTAAAATAAAAATAAAAAATAAAAAGATTTGAGTTGATGAAGAAAATAAATTTTATTTACTCATACAAGATTACAAATATAATATAAATATTACTCCTTCCGTTCAATTTAATTTTTCATTTTTTCTGTTTTCTCGGTCGTCCTACATAATTTTTTCTTTTCTTTTTTAAAAATATAATTATATATTTAATCACATTTTAAAATTCATAATTTATAATTTTTTATTTTAATTAAATTATTTAGTCATCGTAATCTTAATCTATAATTATATTTATTAAATCATAATTATTTTCACTAATAAATTTTTTAATTGCTTAGTACCTTAAATTAAATTGAACAAATTAATTAAGACGGAGGGAGTACTTTTATATATATACTTAATACAAAAAATGTGTTAAAAAATATAAATTAACACACTCTTTGATTGATTTTTTATCAATTTATTTTGTATATAAAATTTAAATTTTTTATAAAACTAAATTATTTCATCTTAAAATATATTACATGCAACATTTATTTAAATTCAAATAAAAGATAAATTCTTGAAATCTTCACCTTTCTCTACGAGTTCATAAGTATTAAATTGTCCATAATCAATATATCATTTTTACCATTATCTTATTGAAAGTATATTAAGTTAATTTTTACTAAATAATAATTATTTTTACTAATACACTTCTTAATTATTTATTAATTATATTTTACTTAAATTCTCGTGTCTACGGTAATACACTTATATTACATGGGATGAAGGGAGTATATTTTTACACTACTTAACTATATACATAAAGTAAATATTTTTTTTAATGTAAGTTACTTTATATTTAATCATTCTAGAATGTACCATTAATCCATTATATTTTCAATCTACTTATTATATATAGAGTAATGATATTTTTCGAATTTTAAATAACTTTATATTTAGTTATATTCTAGATTATCCAATTTAGGTAACAAAAGTAACACCAACAAATGAAATATGTTGGAGGTTTAAACCCAAGTATTTTTGTGATATACTATTGCATAAATATTTCAATTAAAAGATACAAGTGTTGTGTTATTTTAAAATTGATTTGAAAGACAATATTATTTAATTTTTTTACTTTGATAGTACGTTAATATTCCATCTGTCCTATAACAAATATTACTTTTACGTTTTAGTTTGTCTCATAACAAAGTATTTAATTTTTTTTTTTTAAAGTAAATGTACTATATACCTAACCTTACAAATACTCTTACAACTTACAATATATTACACATATGTCATTACTTTTATATCACACATACTAATAAGGTTATTTTAGTCATTTCTACTTTATTCCTACTATATTTCAATATAATACTAATATTTATAAAACTACGTGTAAAAAGCAAATTAATATTTATGGGACGGAGAGAGTATAATATTTTGTAATAATAAATAATATATTTATGTTAAAAATTATACAAAGTGGATGGTATTTGAACTAAAAAAGAACAAACTAAAGAATTTGATGGAGTTTGACAAACAATTTATTGAAAAGCTTTTAATTATTCGATCAGTCAACTAATTAATTTAATACGTTCTATATCTATAGTTTTAGATCACCTTTTTTATTTTATTTTCTTATTTCTTATTTATCCTTAAAATTTATTTGTTAATTTCACACACATTAATATATTTTTTTATTATACTCCATCCGTCTCATATCTATCTATTCATTTATTTTTTTAATAAAATTTTAGAAATATTAATATTATATTGAGATGTAATATTTTTTTTTCCTACAATATGCGGATCAATAAAAAATACTTTGTTTTTAAACGAATGTAGTATAATATTTTGCATATTAAATGACAAAGAAAACTGTTCAAAAGAGATTTAAAGAATAAAAAAAAAAAACCCGTAGATCAACATTAAACAATATGTCGTTAGCGTCTCTATTTTCAAATTAATGTTAATATCTATTAAATAATCAATGAGATTTTAATACTCGCTCCCGTTCGGCGATACTTTCTGCATTTTTTAACATTAGTATTCTATTGAGTTACAGTATAAAAAAAAAAAAAAAAAAAAAATAAAAAAAAATAAAAAAAATAAAAAAAAAATAAAAAAAAAATAAAAATACCTCTATTATTATGGGTGAGCATTCGAATTTTTTGTTCGAATTTTGCCAAATTCGAACAGATCCGAAAATCCGAAATTTTTAAAAAAACCATCCGAATCGAACCGAAATAACCGAAATTCGAAATCCGAAAATCCGAACTAAAAAATCCGAACAAACCAAAAAATCCGAAATTCTAACTATTTTTATTATTTTTTTAAAATTTTTACATTTTTTAAAATTTTATTATCATTTTATAATATTAAATATATATAATATATATAAATTAAATATATTAAAATATAATTAATAAATTTGAATTTTTTATATTAAATATAATATTCTCTAATAAAATATTAAACATGTATAATAAAAAAATATATTAAAATGTTATATTTCGAATTTCGGATTGGTTCGGATTTTAAGTATACCGATCCGATCCGATACGAAATTTGTTAAAAATTTAATCCGACCCAAAAGGGAAGGAGCATTAATTTCATTGAACAAAAAATTTTAATTAATAATTAGTAAATATGATTCCACACACTAGTAAAATAATTTTACATTTCATCTAAAATGACAACCATAACACTCTTTTTTAAGTGCATTTTAATCAATACATTCTTTTATGCTACCCATAATAAACAATATTAATATTCTATAATTTTAACTTTCTGAACCAAAATACCAAAAATACGACACATGATCTTCTCCTCATAAATTTCATTGAACCAAAAAAACTGATAGAGACTACAATAAACAAAACAACATACTCTAAGCTCAAGAGCCAAAGTTTCAAGAATTTCCCTAATCCCACATCATACTTATCAATTTCTATTGTGTTTTTTGGCTCTGAGTCTGATTTGCTCTATTAAATCTCATAAATATTCGGAACTAATTACGCTATATCTCAACCTACTTCCCACAAAATTTAAGTACTGTAACCAAAAACCATCAAATTGCAATATATTTTTTGACTTACTAGTTGTCATGCTTTCTCTTCTTTTTCGGCAAAGTAGTGGGTAATGGACCATATAGACATAGCTGTAGCTTGCCTTCGATCAATCGTTGGTGAAAATAACTTCTGTACAAATCCCAAAACTCATCCCTGCAGATGAAAAGAAATTGCAGCTTAGTAACTTAATAATCGCCCGGAAGTGTTATTATTAGAATGTAAAAGATTTTAGTATGATACTTCTCATTGCTTCGTGTAATGAGAAGTGAGAATGAAATTCCAAAACTGATCCTAGCTCACATTGTCATATGAAATGAACAATTTTTTTATATCGGGTGTGAACAATTTTATATAGATTACAATTTTATCTGGTGTGAAGAAGCTTTTACATTGTGTTTTTTTGCGAGTTTTAACACAGAATTTTTTTACTTTTCAGATTCTATTTTTTTCTCAAAAAATATCACATCAAACAATTCATTTTCTTTTTCTATATTATACTACAAATTTTATTTTACATTCAAAATATCACATCAACTTTTATTTATATCACATCAAACAACTATTCAAATTCAACTTTTTACAATTCAAAAATTCAAACCCAAAAACTAAAATCCACAAACAAACACATCCTAATGATAAGCTGTAGAAAAGCATCCGACATAAACCAAATTTTATGTATAATAGTTCCTAGATCACTGAATCCTTTCCTGGCATGCTTAACTCCAAAAGAATACAACCTCCAATGGAACTTCTTGATATACATTTTAAATAGATATTTTGTTTAATATTATTTAAATTTGGTGGTTATTATTTGAATTTATCCCTTCTATTTGGTGAAACGCAGTGATCTATAAGGAAACATGACCAGTGGCAACTTCAGCACAGAAAATTGAATAAACAATGCATATCATGATCGATCCCCGAAGAAATTGTTAGAAGAATCATGACTTATTGATCCATAACTAAGTTCTACTTATGTCAATCTTTAACACCACAATCAATCCAAAATGCACTACAAGTCTATTTCAGACATAAAATGAGGTCCTACTTCTGAAGGTTCCAATCTAGACGAAAATTCAGAAAATATCAGTTAGTCTGCAATGTACCATTTTCGGATCGAGAACTTGACCATAAATCTTTTCAGTAGTCTACTAATAAATTTCATGGACAGAGACATTGGCACATCATGCACAGATTTTTAACTCACCAAGTTCTTGAAAAAATTTGATACGTCCGTATCTCATAGAAGTAAAAAGCTAGATATACGAAATAGGAAAAATTACTTATAACTCATTTGTGGTCTGAAAAATATATACCATATTCCTTTTATGTTTTTAAAACTTCACGGACTCTTTAGTGTTCTAAAGGATATTGCACAGAATTTCCTAAAAATTGCACAAGGCTCACATATGTTTTCGAAAGGGGATTCTATACAATATTTTTGGAAACATGAGGAACCTTCACTTAATTTCTAAAGTAGTAGGGAGAATTATGCCGGCTTTTCAAACCACTCATGAATTATAAACATTTTTTGTCTACAAAATAAGGAGGTAATAGAAAGGAACGAAATGAAGGATTCATACCTCACTTGAGGAAGAGTGAGCAAAGAATATCCCTTGACATCCGTGTGCATGTCAAGCATAACAACTGCTAATCGAGAAAGACCAAGGGCTTCAATATCAATTAATTTCTTAATCCTGAAACAAACAGTCAACTAATTTAATTTGTAGAGAAGGGTAACTATACAAGTAACAAAAAGATGCATGTGTTTAAGTTTACGAAAAGGAATGATAATATAAATGATTCGAGAAGGACTCTGAAACCAAGAAAATAGAAGAAATACAGATATCAGAAAATCAGAATACATAGTTGAGCACAGCAGAAGCACTGATCGAAAACACGATACCTGCTGGGTGTTCCGCTTGCGATATTTACACGGTTCTTTAGAACAGCTACCTACAGGAAGATAAGAGAGGAGAAAAATGATATATGCATGGACAAGATATTAGCACCATGAAGAAAATTATAACTTCCAGAGAAAATTATTTAGTGATATGAACATGAGCCAGATATAGAGCTGTTAAACAAACAAAGCCGTTCGTGAACATGTCTCAATTTGGTTTAAGGTTGTTTACGAATATAAACAAGCCAAGCCAAACAATATAAATAGACTCGTTTTATTAATGAATGAGTTTGAGTCTTGTTCACAAAAGTTCGTTAAAAAATAAATATATGGAATTATTAATTAAAAATAAATAAATAAAATATTATATAAAAAAATTAAAAATAAAAATAAAATATCATACCCATTCAAATGACTTTGAATGAGCTTGAAAGAGCTTAAACAAGCCCAAACAAACTTATTCGACTTGAATACGAATACAAGCTCGAACAATAAAATTATTTAACGAACCGAACTCGAATATTTAATGAACGAATACGAACTTTGTTCGCAAACGTTACCGAACAAACATAAACACTTTAAAATTCTATTCAGTTCGTCTCGTTAACCGCTCTAGCTAAATATTATAAAGGTTTACTGCAGCCTGGCAAATTTACTCTTGTTATATGATCATCTCATATAAAACCTTAAGCCGATAAAAACATACATCATAATAGTCTTTCCAATTGGCCCATTCCCATGCAAGTGGACAATTTTTCACAAAGGAGGGCGATGTGACTCAAACACGGGACTTCCCGCTCTGATATCATGTTAAAATGATTATATCACCTAAAACTTTAAATTGATAGAGAAATGATCATTAATAGTCTTCCAGCAAACTCCCTAGGTAGTAGGTAGTTGGCATCTTTCTTTTAGTACAGCAATTTCTAATACATCTTAAGCAGCATATGAAATTCTTGATAATCGATACATTAAATATAGATTCTTTCCCTTTTACATTCTTATATGATAATCTACATTGCTTGCACCAAGAAGACGCTAGAAACTCAACTTGACATAAAATTCACACTCTAGCATAAAATTGTAAGATTCCACACACCTGCTCCTCAACCTTCATATGCTTAGAAAACAGCTTTGCAGCATGGCATTCTGTTGACAAAGACCGTAACTCCCTGCACAGGTAAACTATTCAGCTCAATGAAACTATAGATCAAAAAGCACACCATAAATATGTAACATCATCGTATTTAATCTTTTTGGAATCCAGCAACTATTATTTACAAGATTATGACACATAAAAATAGCCTGTTTAATCCTCGAGGTCTGTTACACTCACTTGCCAAGCAAAAGCTCGAATATTAGTACCAACCTGAGAATCTCTAACGATCTTAATGCCGATGCACTTATCACAAGAAGTGCAGGATTACCAGGATCAACTTCCCCACCCCGAAGATGTTTTTCAAACAGCACTTCCTTCCAAGATGATCCAAAAACAACTTTTACTTGATCGGCCAAGTTCCCTTTAGTGGTTTGTGTCGGAGCTGGGAGCTCGGCAATACATTTTTCTGCTATTCAAACTTCTAGTTAAGATTTATAATTCTGGAGAACGAAAGCAGTGTTGATATATGCATACATCCGTATCTTTAGAAGTGTATTTAATAATGCAGAAATGATGGTGGAAATTAATAGGTACTTGTGATGCTAGATGCAACAACAAAATAAGAAATGAGTGGTTACTTGATCCCCTTCGGCCTTCTGTTCAACCAGATGATTCTCAACCTTAGAAGAATTCTAACTAGGGGTGGTTCGGTATGACATACCGAAATTTATACCACATATCATATACTCCCTCCGTCTGCCTTCAAGGGTCACTTTTACCTTTGCGTCATTGTACTTAACATTAAAAATATCTTTATATTTGTATAACTTTTTGTACAAATGTCCTTCTATTTGTATTATAAGACATTAATGAAAATATTTTTGCAATTTTTTTTTAAATTTGTACTATATTTTGATATAATAATTAATATTAAAAAATCAACTAGTACTGTATGAAATTTTTGGTATGGCATTTTTACCATTTGGATATCATACCTAAAAATTAGTATACCAAAATTTCGGTACAGCAGAAACTATACCCAATAATCTTTATGAGTTTATACTTTCATGCCAAAATCTTGAAATTAGAAATAATTTTTGGTATGCGTTAAATTTTGGTACATCAACAATATTTTTTTTGGGATAAACACAAATTCAGAATAGAAATATCTTTGGAACTCAACTCTATATATATATGTAAATTATTTATACCAGAAAGCTGCAAGTGAAGACTATGCATAAAACATATAATCTGAACATCATTAGAGAGGAAGAGATCCGAATTGAAACCTTTAAGGCAATCCAATTCGAGGGATGATAGTGCAACGCCATTGGCAGACTGATAATGGTTGATGAAAAAGCTCAGCTGCTGGGAAGCCGTTGCCCATTCGATGGCTTTGATTTCCTGTTTCTCCTCTGCGGCGGCGGCCACTGATTTATCACCTCTGTTCTTTTCCGCGTTGCTTTTGCTCTTACTCTTGCTGGATTGCTTATTCCTTTCTTTTGTTTTGGTTTTTTTAATACCATGCTTGGACCTCAGACCTGGCTGATGCTTCCCTCGTTCCTTCGCGGCGGCGACGGTGGCGGTGGAGGAGGAGCCCATCGCTGTTCTAGGTTTTGGGTCCGGCGAGTGTTTGCGAACTTGGGTTTGATTATTCGTATACTGTTTTTTCGCACTTCTTTTCGTTAGGTTATCAAATTATTTTATACTCCTGTAGCGGGTGATTATATAGTACTAGTACTTTCTCACTTTCTCCATCTAAGATAATTCTTTAAAAATAAGGAACGACTAGTATCAGTCATATTTTAAATATTTTTAATATTATATTTATTAAAATATATATATATATTATTTTTATAAAAATAAAATTTTATATAGTATAAATAATTATTTATTTATTTGTAATTAATTTTATAAAAAAAAAAAAAATTAACATAAATAAAAATATTTATTTATCGTAGAGAAAGATAAAATATTATATCTGAATAATATATATATAGGTTGAGGATTCCCAGATCTTAAAAAAAAAGAAAAAAAAACATCTTCATGAAATATTAATTAATTATTATATACACGGATACGGCAAACTCTACATAAAGTCCCCATCGGCCATCATCATCGAATACAAACCAAACCATAATCCCCAATCCAAACATTATATTATCTGTGATGTAATTTTCACAATAAATTGTCGGATTAGGCCACAGATCATATCGTATATTGTAAATCCACCACAAATAATTGATTTCATTCAAGCTAAAGCTAAGCCGATGCATGCTTCCAAGCAAGGATTTTTAATGCAATATTCCAATGTAGGTTAAAATGGACTCACAAAATTTTTACTTAGCTTGTGGCATTTTGTCTCATCCACTTTGTCGCGGACCACTTCTCCCCCGACAATACTTCACATCCGCCATGCAGGCTTCTTGGATCCGACTGTCCATCGAGCCCCTGACAGATTATCAATGACTCAAGAAGTAACATGGAAAATTCAAATCAACAACCGTAATATATATATATATAAGCAACACACAGTCTTATTATACATAACACATGTTGTATATAATAAAGACATGTGTTGTTAGTTTATAATTATAAGTGAGATGTATAACAGTATATGATGTGTTGAAATCAACTATTATTTATTTGCGATGTATTACACTATAACATGTGCTGTTAGTTTATATGCTGAAAGTAACTATTGTTTGTGTTGTATAAGACTATAGCATGTGTTGTTAGTTCATGTGTTGTACTTGCATTATATGAATGTATACGGTATGCTGCCTGTAGTAACACCGTGTGCTGTCTTGACTTGAAAGAATTCGAGGGGAAAAAACATACCATGCTCCAGAATAGCACGGCGCTTCCTTTAATTGGCTTCACACATAATCCTGTGACTGTTCTGCCCCCACAGCTGCACTGACCAGATCCAGCCTGAAAGTGACGGATTTAGAATACCAAAACATGAGCGTCAATATAGGAATCAAAAGTAATAATTATGTTGATAACATCGTGAAAATAAGGATACTAAGAAGCTTTAAAAGTAAGCTCGGGACTTTAAAAACAGAAGAACAAAACAGTCGGGGCAGATTCCATGAAAGTGAAATGGCAGAAATGGAGTTCTGGAAAAAAATCCTGTTAGTTATGCAGTTGACATGATAGAAAATAATATAACGTCCTATTAACCATTAAATCTTATGATGATGCAGACAAAATATCAAATGATATAAATTCATGCAAGCCTCGATGGCTTCTCTACCAAACATTAAATGGAGGATCAAACAAAACCTCCTCCATGATATCGTAAGTGCTTTATCCTGACCAACTGACTTATATCTGTACAAAAACTTGATTGCTTCAATAGCAGAAATTCACAACTTTCGATCAAACTCGCTGCATTCAACCCCCGTGAAGTTTCTTATAAGCATCAGCATATAATTGCTAGTCACGAAAATAACTTCATCACTTTTCCAGATAGTAATCACTAACTGGGCATGCAGAAGAAAACTGATGCTTATTTGCTGTTCATTTAATTTCTAGCAATCAATTTCTAATAGTACCATCACAATGTTTTCACGCACCAGAAAAACCATACTGCATCTGGTCTTGTGTACTAATTACACATTCAAGGGTTTGCTTGTTTGATCTGTCCGATCTTGATATTAGACTCAAAGATATACCCAAAACTTTGGCAAACTATTGATGATCTATACTAGCTAAAATATTCCCGACACACACAAAAACTCTTCAGCTTATTATCTGTATTGCATTGCAACGAATTTCAACAGGTCTATAGCTGAGATAATCAACCACGTCAGCAGAAACATCTTTTCCACCTAAGAAATAGAATCAGACATGCATTACCTTTGGGAAGTATGTTTCTCCCCCCTCGACACCATCGCTCAGATACATGAGCATGGTTGCAACTCTTTGACCACCAAACTTTAAATTAAACTGAAAGAAAAAAACACATCAAATTCTAGCATTTTTTTTTTCTGTCAGCAATGATAATGATAGCTTGGAGATGATATTCAGCCCACACAACAAGGAAAAGGACATAACAAGCTTACCGGATCCGAGAAGTAGTCATGGTGTGGCCGATATAGCTGATTCTTTTCATACCTGTGCTTCTGCAGATGTTAGCTTTTAAATTAATCTATTAGTTGTGTGTTTGATCGAGTAGTAAAAGACAAGTATGCACTATTACTCGCCTCAACACTTGTATGCGCTCTCCATTTTCTACTGGTATTTGAGAGTATACAGAAATTCGCTTCTCAATTCCCTGACACGCACATGATTTCCAATAACAGTGAGAAACTATCATTTGTAATGCTCTAATTAGGAGAAGCGAAAATTACACTACATTAAAGAATATCCACAAGCATAACCAATGTCATGAATGCATTAAACTGAGGTTTCATCAAACCTGTATTATTGGATATTTCCTGTCTCTAGAACTCAGAAACATGCCAGAACTTGTTCTAACTTTACTTTTAACACCCTGAAACAGAAATATTACATAAACTACAGTTGATAGTGTAATTATTTGATTTGTAAACAAAACTGAGAAGATAAAATGAACTTCATTAACATGAAAACAACATTAGATGGATCTGGTTGCTTCTGCAAGTACTGGTTGCTATAATCAATTAGCTTATCAGGCAAAAACAATGATGACCCCCATGCAATCAAGTGATCAAACTCTAGAGGCTGATTAACAGTTAACATTTTTATGTATTTTGGTGATACTAAAAAAGCTTTGTACTATATAGACATGCCAACACAAGACCAAGAACATATCTTGGAAATTCATGTTTTGAATCTAGTATCTAAACCGACACTTACCTTTCCAGTTTTCATGTCCACAACAGTAGAAACCACTAGATGGGGTTTGGCAATGGCTCTAAGATAATCACATTCCTGTAAAGGCAAAAGGACAGTACAATTTCTTACACTGTTATGTCTTTTTTTTTTTTTTTTCACTGTTAAGTTTGTTAAGCACTCTAGGCCTAGCATGAATGTACCCCCTTTTAGAAAAGCATAAATGTTACAAACATACTGAATTGTTAAAATGAGCAATTTCTTAAAATTAAAAGTTGAATAAATAGAAAGCCATTTTTTAATCTTGATTAAAGGCGTGTGATCCATGATTCAATGATACATCATAGGCAATAATAAGAAAAGCCATATTTTATACATCATAGGCAATAGTAAGAACAATATTTACCCTATGTATAGAATATTATTATATATTTAAATACAGAAACCCAAAAATCAAAGAACTGAAAAACAGAAAAATACTACGTACACAATATTCAAACAAAATATATTCTAATACACATAACAAGTAGATAGTCACACCGGTAAACAAACCTAGATATCTGACAAGAATATCATGACAATGATTCAACAAATGTAAATACCTCAGCACTTAAGAAGTTATGAAACAGAATAATGCGAGGTGACCAGTTTATTACTTCAGGTTTAACCTGCATCACAGCAAATAATAAATTATCAATATAAGTAAATAGATAACAGCTCTACTCATAAACATGCAATTAAACTGGCACTTCTAGAAGGTTTCACTGTTATCAAGGAATAAGACAAGACCCAAATGACTCGAACAGAACTCTGGACCTTCCTAAGTTATTAAAAGCATTTAGTGGTACATATAGCTTATATAATCGGAGAGAGGTCAAACATTATCTACTAGATTCACAAGAATATACACAGAGATAAAGCCAGTAAGAAAAGTTAATGAGGTTCCTTTCATTACTCAGACCAAAACAACACAGGAAGAACAAGGTTTCCCAGGAAGAAACCAAAGAATCAGTTGTCAAATGGAAATTTTCCATTCCATTTATTCTATATGGGCTCTATCATACATTATTGTCCTATTTGGATGGCCTAACCACTACCCAATCTCAAGTTATGCCCATCGTTTCACAACACCCCACAAAAAACAAATATTAAAGCATGCCACTTAAACTGTTACCACACTTAGAATAATTAAAAGGATTGTGAATTAATGTCCTCTACACATATACGATAACGATACATGATATCAACAAAAATATAGATCAAAGTCAAACAATATCAAAGATTAATTGGGGCCTATGTTATAAAGTCTAAGATTTGGAAGATGAAAGAATAACTCATTATAAAAATGAAAAGACCATGAACATACATATCCAATCCGCAACATTACATCTTCTTGGTCACCCCAATAGGCTCCTGTAAAGGGAGAATTGAGGTGATATGTTATATGCGCCAAAACAAATGCTTTCAACAGATGCATGTGTGAAGAAAAAAAAAAAACTATTATCCACATGTAAGTTAAAGAATATACCTCCCCTCAAACCTCTAAGTCTTGTCAATGAAAACTTGGCCCCTAGACACCAACATTTTCATATGTTGATTTTATAAGAACAGCATATTAAATCACAATTCACAAACTAAAGTCAGTATGAAAAATACAAGTGACCTACAGGAAGGAAAATTTATCTTTCTATGACAAGATTGAATGCATTATTCACATAGGAGTGATCAGTTAATTTATTGAGAAAACTTAAACATTCACCTGAAAACTACCTTTAATTATATAAAATATACATGTGAAACGAGGGTGATTAAGAAGTATAGGCACCTAACTGAAATTTTTTCTAAAAGGCTTGAAGCTAACTATGTTTGGTAACTTGGGTCAAAGTGTAACGGGTCGGATGGTTCCTCTTCGAACACCTCTGTCATTCCTGGACATTCCAGGAGGTTACGGAAGAGAGATCTCTGCTAGCCTCGTGGCACGCCATAGGCCGCTCCTCGGTGTTCCTCGGCCAATGTTTCGATCCGTAACAAAAGGATAACATGTTATCCAGCCATAGATATCAAACTTGTTTTGGAAGACACAAAGTGCCCAAAAATAATAACAAAACATATTACTTTGACAAGACTTGGTGAGACATTTGGCACAAACAGTTAGCAAAATGTGTGGCCGAGGTCTAGGTTACACATTCAGTAGCATTTTCTATAATTACAAATTAGAAGTAAACAACTATTACTATCAGTAGCACTCCAAGTATCCAGCATTTCATGAGAAGGCACAAATATTGAAGACTGTCACCCTTTTTTTGCAAAACCATCATAAACTACCATACCACTATTCAATTTAGTTTATGTACAAAGTAAGTAGCTTAAATGTCGAGAAAGGCTTTATGTAATTCATTTGAGGAGTTCTCTGTCAAACTAGGTGGGTTAATGTGTGGGTTTGCGTGTATACTTCAACTTCAAAGAAAATAGTAGAACATTCATCAAATATATACAATAAAGGTTGAAAATATTAACAGAGTTCATAAAAACAAAATATATTTACATTTTCTCTATGTATGTAACTATACTTGTTTCTTACTTTGTCAAGATTAATTTCATAAATGGAATTAAGTATATAGCATAATTTGTATTCTCTGTTAAGTGGCTCATGTTTTGCAGAGAAGTGACTGTCGTGAAGGAATTTCTTCAGGTGGCCAAAATGAACCTCAAATAGTGCAGAAAGATACAGAAACATCCATTGTAGAACTTGCACGCTATTTATAAAAGAGACTCGAGGAGGCAGTCAATGGATATATTTTGAAGCCAAAATCTAGTTTGATAGCTAAGAATAAAATCAATCAAAAGTAATATCAGAGTTGAACCAGCATAAATGAAACATCACATGCCCAGCACCGAGAAGGGGCTACAAGAAAGGAAAGAAGACGAAGCTAAAGTCATTGCTAGCTATGAGCCTATGATTAGTACAAATCACAGTAAAACCTTTGGCAATAGGATTTTATCTTGTTAACGTTAACAACTTGCTCATCTATCCACAAAAACACTTGTGTTCTTTTGTGGATTTTACACAAGATTTTTACTATTTAAATTCTTTTTTCCCTCCAAAAATATCAAATCAAATCATTACTTTTTCTTTTTTTATATTATACTATAAATTTATTTTAAATTCAAAACATCACATCATCATCATCTATTTATATCACATCAAACAACTATTCAAATTCAATTTTTTACTATTAAAAATCCTAACCCCAAACCCACAAACAAACACACCCTTAAAGCTTGGAGTTAGAACTATGCTGATAAATTCAACTATTAGGATTTCACAACAGAAGGTTGTTATAGTCAGGCTCCCACATTGTCAAAAGGTAGTGAACAAAATGCAACTATATACAATAAATTAGGCAAAAGAAAAACACTATTAAGTACTCTTGGAGAATGATGAGAAGATTACCATATGAATCATCAAGCTTCTTAATGAATTCCAACTGCATCAGAGCTCCTGAATATCCATAATCACAGCACAACAGTCGCTTTTTGTATTAAAAACATAAGTACAAGAAACAAAATTAACCGAAACAACACTGTATTTGAACTTGAGACAAGTAATATTTGTAATCCTCCACATATGCACATACACATGTTCACGCGTCATCTAACTTTCCATTGCTGTGTACCTCATCAAAACCTCTTACTTCACTTATTACTTACTACACACTGATTCGGGCATCATCCCATTTCTCAAATATATATATATATATATATTGCAAGAGCACACAAGAATTATTATTAAATGCTAGAATAAGAACCCAATCATTTTCATTGCTTCTCGGGAGTTCCTTTCCCAACTTCATGCACTAATCTAGGTTTAAAATAATAATAATAGTAATAATAACAACCAAACAAACCAACAACATCAACAAAGCAACAAAACAAAACACAAAACAAAACAAAACCAAACCAAACAAAAGAAGAAAAACCAGAAAAGAAGCAAGGGCGACACTTGACTACTCAAAAATGGAGTATGATGAGGTCATTACACTCAAAAGGAAGCAGAAATCTAACACCATTGAATCATAAAATTCAGAGCATAGTATCAAAATGATGAGCAGTGAAAGGACAAAAGGAGTTGGAAGAAGTACCGATTATCATTCCTACTGTTACAAATGTGAGGAGAACAACGACAAATCGCATCGCGAAAGCAGCCATTTCTGCAGATTGAAGAAAAGGGAAAGACGAGGTGAGGACGGGTGTGAATGAGCACACTCTCGTTCCGCGTGAAGGAAGAAGTTATTATTATTATTTTTTTTTATTTTTTTATTTTTTATATCCGCTGCACGATCATTTCCGTACGGTTTGCGAAGTAATTGACCGCACACCAACTTCTGAAATGATATTCTTATACCTGGTAAGAAGAATTTAGAATATATTTGGTTGTAAGTTTGAAATTTGAATTGATTTGATTTTTTTATTTTATTTAAATTTTTTGAATTTAGATACTTAAATTTAAGTTTGGTTTTTGTAATGACGATACTCTCTGTCCCATAATTAGATATTTATAGTATATATGATATAAAGATAATGACATTTGTATAATATATTGTAAGTTATAAAAATATTTGTAATGTTAGTTAAATAGTACAATTACTTTAAAAAAAAAAAAAAAAAATATTTTCCTGAGTATATTAATTGATAGTTAAAGTAAACTGTATTGATTGATGTGATAGTCAATGTTAAAATAACTTCCTCCATCCCAGTCAAGATAACCCATTTACTTAAACCTAATGTAAATTAGTAAGTTATTAATAATAAGTTATAATATTATTTTATTATTTTATATATGAGTAATATTGTTAGTATTTTAAATATTTTTAGCATTATATATCAATAAAATATATACAATATGGATCTTATTTGGTAGAAAATAAAATTTTATATAATAAAAAAAATAAAAAATAATTTATTTATTTATCTATAATTAACTTAAAACTAATTTTATTAAAAATAAAGAGTTTTAAATACAGATAAAAATATTTATTTATTGAGAAAATAGATAAAAATAATGGGATTTTGAGCGAGTCGTCCTACTTGTAAGAGGTTAAAATTTTTAATTAAATTGATTTATATTTGTTAAATATGTTTAAGATTAATAAATTTACTAAAAATATAATAGGACGAACAAAAAATGAAAAAGGATCATCTGTTGCGAGACGTTAGATAAATTGAAGTATAATTATATACTCTCTCCCGATCAAGATGACCCATCTTGATCCATTTACTTCTATTTGGTTTGAGGGTTTTGGAGGAAATAGGATAAAACTATAAAAAAAATTTGTGTTTGGTTCAAATTTTTTTAGAGGGGAGTGGAGTCAATTTCTTCTAATTTTTTTCCCCTCCAATTTGGGAGAATTTGGAGGAGAGAGTTTTTATCTAAATTTTGTTTTATCTAATTACCTATTATACTCTTTATATATTTTATTAAAAATTTTATGACATTTTTCAAAGTTTTAATACTAGTATTTTATTTCTTTTGTCCCATGTAATATGAGCATATTACTGTAGATACGAGAATTTAGATAAAAATATAATTAGTAAATAATCAAGAAAAGTACTAGTAAAAATAATTATAAATTAAAATTAAGATAACTAAATAGTTTAATTAATATTAAAAAATTATAAATTATAAAATATAATATATTTTTATAATATACTTAGTTTATATAATTTTTGTTACAATGTCATTATTATACGTAAAACTATTGTTTTTATTTATTGGTAAATTTAATAAATAACTAATGTATTAAGTATTTGATTCTTCCAAGATGTAATAATCTATTGTTTTTATTATACTAGACAAATAAATTTTGTACCACATTTTATGAATAAATTAATCGAATTTTATTAAATAGTTTTTTTTTTCTTTATTTATATAACACAAGGTAAAACAGTAAAATTATTATATTTTTTCTTTATCTCCCTTGCTTAACCAAATACAAAAATACTATTTTCCATCGCCTCGTCTCGTCTCGTCTCCCTTCCCTTTTCTTCTATATGAACAAAACACGCTATTACAATTTTAATATTCTTTCCCCTACCTTCGCCTCCTCTCCCTTCTATTAAAATCCCTCCCCCCATTTGAACCAAACAGACCCTTGTCGGTTTGAGAAATTTGGAGGGGAAAGAAGGAGAGAGAATGAGAAAAATTACAATTACCTCGTTCGGTTCAAATTTTTTAAAGGAGAAGGAAAATGAACGAGAGGGAATATAAAATGAGCTTATCTTATTTCCCCTCAAAATTGGAGGAACTCCGAGGTGAGAGAAAAATGTTTATGTTTTTAATTTATAAAATTACTAGTATATCATTAATATTATATTCTCTTTCCGTCCGGCTCTAAAGTCTCATTTATTTTTTGCGTTATTGTATTTAACATTAAAAAAAAAAATTATTTTTGTCATTTTCCCTTGATTTGTATTATGTTTTCATATAATAATTAATATTTAAAGATCAACGTAAAAAAAATAAATTAGACCCTTAAGCAGATGTAGTATTACTTTATCTAAATTTAATTATAAATAAATTATATTATACGTATTTTATAATTAATAATTATTTATAATATTTTTAAAATTTATAATGTATTTAAATTATAACATAAAATTTTATATAAATTAAATTAATTTTAATTTAATTAAACTCTTAAGATATTTATCTTATAATTTATTTTAAATAAATAATATATATGTTAGAATGACTATTTTGCTAATAAATTATTCAAATCTCTTACATATAATTTTATTTATATATTATTTACATGATATGAGTATATTTATATACTTATTTTAAAACAAACTATGTCATTCTTATATCAAAATTGATGTTTTATTAATTAAAATTTTATTAAAAATTTTTATTTATACAATATTATTTTCTTCCCCTCGCCTTCCTCAGTTTCCACATGAACCAAACACGCTATTACAATTTTAATATTTTCAGTGCATAATACATGGTCACGTTCTTGCACGACCCTGTATAATTTTATACTGCCATGTACATTTATGTTTTGTTATTTTTCTTAAAAAAAATATTTTGAATTTAGAATAGTTGATATAGTTAAAATGGATTAAAATCAATAATAATCATAATATAATTAAGATGTATCAATTTTAGTTCAAATATAAATATTTATAGAGTATGTTTTTTTGGAAAATTTTTATCTAAAATTCTACTATTTACCAAAAAAAAAATTATCTTAAAAATATTCAATTACACAACTATTTTATATTTTTGTATATTATAATATTAAAAAAAATTACATTTCAATATAATTTCAAATAACTTCAACATAGACATATATCATTGTAATAAAATAATAAATTAATTTTTAATACTATTATAATATACAAATTTTTTTATGAATAATAGAATTTTGGACAAAACATTTCAAAAGAATATATCTCATAAATTTTTATATTTAATTAAAATTGATATATTTTAATTATATTAGGATTACTATTATTTTCTTTTTATTTTCACTATATCAACTATTTTAAATTAAAAATATATAACAATAAAATAAAATTTTAAATCAAAACAGAAATGTACACGGCTGTGTACAAATTATACATGACAGTGTGACAATATGGCCGTGTAACAGTATGTTTATGTATAATTATATACTGAAATATATATATGATCGTGTGACAACATGACCGTATATATTTGTATATGGTTGTGTAGTTTCTATGTCAGCTGCCACGTCAGCTCTGTTACGTCAACGTCAGCAATTTCTGTTAATTTATTAATGATGGGACCAAAATTGATTAAAATATAATAGGACTAAAATTAATTGAAATTATTCCTAACGATACTAAAATTGATGAATTTTTTATATTGAAATAAAAATTGATAAATTTTAGTTATATTGAAATCAGGATTGATTTTTTCCCAAACAAAATATTCTTTTAAATTATTTAACAAAACAAACACGTCCAAAAGCCTTGTGAAAAATAATACTCTCTCCCTAAAAATGTATACTTATTTGACTGAACATAGTTTTTAACTAAAATAAAATAGAATAAATTTAAATAATAATAATAAAAAAATAAAAAAGAAATTTAAATGACGAAAAAAAAAATAATATACATCACAGTCAACATAGAGGGTATTTTCGTCATTACACATTTTATTTTATTTTTATTTTTTATTTTATCTTCAGGAAATAGCATAGCAGTTTACTGCCGGCATCGGTGAAGTCAGATGTCACAGAACTGTAATTTAATCAGTTCATCGTATGGAATACCTCTCTATGTTTCATCTTCCTAAGCAAAACACATAATCATTATCCTCCATGCAGATCTCTCGGCTAAATTACTGATTTCGTTTCTCTGATCCCTTCACTTGCTCGGTGCCCATACGCCGGGTGTGATCTAGAGCAGTATTTCAAGAGGATCGCCATCCAATTTTCGATTGTAAAACCCTAATTTAAGAATGGCCGGTGCTTCTCGGTACGGGTTGTCTTTGGCTTTACTAGTCGTACTCCAGGCTAGCATTCTCTTCTTGTTCTTCTCCCACCCATCAATTGCCGTTGGGGATGACATTTTACACGCCGCACCCACTGCTGATTCCCCCGCTTGCAGGAACGACTTTCGATTGGTAATTTATGCTTTTGTCGGTGAATTAGGATGTTTCTTTGTGTTTGCTTCGCTTAGCTTACAGCTTTCTTGACGTAATTGATGTTGACTATGATGGTTCTGTTTCCATTATCTTGCGTTGTTTTATGCGCTTGACTGAAATCTGGATCTATTATTGCCTTGGAGATTAGTAATAACTGAGATTTGAGAGACTTAACTTACTTTTATTTGCAATTATGTTTAGTATATAGCGTGCTAGATCGTGTGTCTTATATTACTCTAATCGTTCTGTTTGTAAAGAGTGTGCTTGTTCCAAACTTTTCTATCTAATAAATTTTAAGTATATTCGGAGCTTCAGGGAAATACTTCTTTTTACTGTGTCCTGATTTCGATTCTTTCTTGTTTTGCACATTGCCAGGTCAAGATCAAGAGGTGGGTGAATGGTGTTGAGAAGGAGCCAATTGGTGGGGCGACAGCTGATTTTGGTGCCGTATTACCTGAACAAGCTAAACAAGGCCACAGCTATCCAGCCACTTTTTCAAAGCCCTTAAACTGCTGTTCGCAGTTGTCTTCCACGGTACTTTTCACCGTTCTTGTGTAATTGCATATTAAATACTGTACGAGTCTTGGAATAGGCAGGCTTTTCCTATGAGTTCGGCCCATGCTTTTGTAACAAACCCTAGCCTATTTATGATTTCATTCTCTTTCATGTGATGTATGGGTCTTGATGATCTGGTTATATTGCTAGCATTTACTTGTATGGTACTTGGTTGGGGTTTAATGTGAGATAGGTAACTCAATGATTTATCATGGAAAAACAGTTCTAATTCTAAAATGAAGTATGAAAGCCCTATTGTACACTTCTAGTTCTTTGTTAAGGAAGCTATTGTCTTGCCATGATTTAAGCCTAATATTTGTGTTGTATTACTCTTACCTCTGGCAGTGATAACTAGGAAGTAGATGGTTAGGTTTGAACTGTTAAAAGATGAATGCCTTCTGAATGAATTGAAAGAACTCAAAAATGATATAGAGCAGCAGCTAATGGTTTTTAGATGAAGCTGCTCCAAGAATTTAAGTTCTGAGTCATTTTGGCTGCCTGGCTAGGTATAATGTTATTGTTGAAGGACAAAGACTATAAAGTTTTGAATTAACACCTATAAATTTGTCTTGATTCACGTACCATTAAATGGCAGACCGTTGAAATTATATAAAGGTTTTTCTTGCATTCAGCATTCCCTGCAGTTCTAGTGATGAGAACTTTGATTTTTTTTTTATTGCATTCATCATCTATTGTTGTATGCTAAGGGTGGCAAGCTTAATGTCTCAGAAAGCCTGCACAAATTCTTTCAATCATCACAATTAACAATTGGGTTATCAAGCTCAATGAAGAATGTGCTGTCTATGTTCTTGTAGCTACCGAGCTCCATTCTATTGGCAACACGTGGTGATTGTGTTTTTACAACTAAGGCTAAAGTTGCGCAAGCTGCAGGAGCAGTAGGTTTGGTAGTGATAAATGACGATGAAGGTAGCTTAGCTTGACACCCTCATTCATACTGTTTCATAAAGTTGGTTATGGCTATGTTATATCCGTCCTTGTTATCTATATGTGCTTTGGCCTTTAAATATGATGCATAGTTTGTTGAATTTGCTTAGGTCTTGTGCAGATGGGTTGCGATAATGATACTGATCTGAACATTACAATACCTGTTGTTATGATTTCTAAGTCAGGAGGAGAAGAACTAAAGAAAGCCATGGATGCAGGGGCAAAAGGTGAGTTTTCTTAATCTAATATGGTCAAAATAGCTATAAATAACTGTGCGCATTGATATTTGAGTTGTAATTAATCTAATGTTACTTTTCATAATGTGGAGGATAAGTCGATCAAATTGACTTAAATTGCTTGCACTGCAAATTCCTTGTGCAAATTTTTATTAATTTCTAATTCAGGACTTACTATAGTAAGTAATAGGTGTCTTGTGTCTTGATGGCACAGTTACATGTGGATATGCCTGTAAAAAATACTCACATTATCAAATCAACATTTTGCATTTAATGCCTGAAGTTGTTACTGATCTGATATGTTTTACCAAACTATTGGCATCTCGAATTAATTCAATGACGTATGTGTATTTGTACCTTATTCAAATATATGATTTGATAAAAGCTATAATGCTGACTTCAATCTTTTCTGATGCAGTGGAACTTTTGTTATACTCTCCTAACAGACCAATTTTAGATTACTCAGTGATATTGTTATGGCTGATGGCTGTGGGAACAATAGTTTGTGCTTCACTTTGGTCTGAAATCACTGGATCAGAGCGAAGTGATGAGCGCTATAATATATTGTCACCAAAGGTTCCTTTGATTAATCGAATTTCATCTTTGTCTAATTTTATGCTTACTATATAAGTTCATTATGTAGTTGTCTGCTTGTTGCTCATATTTTAGCATTGATTAAAAAGAAAAATGTATATGTACCATTGAAATACATTGGTTGTTGTTTATTATGGTTTCTTAAAGTTACTGCTCTGCGAACATTGAAGATGGATATATCTTTTGCTTTGGAAAATTTTGATAGCTGCACTGATATTTTTCTTCATATATTATTTTAGGAACCTGATGCTGTGGCAGCCAGTGATGAGGATGAGAAGGAAATCCTCCATATCAGTGCAAAAAGTGCAATTGTTTTTGTCGTAGTGGCCTCAGCTTTTCTGCTATTACTATACTTCTTTATCTCTTCGTGGTTTGTGTGGGTGCTAATTGTACTTTTCTGCATTGGAGGCGTTGAGGTAAATAGTCATTGAGCTGATACGTTTTTTTTTTCATTCTCAAAAAATTCAAGTGAAGCATTCATAGAAAAACATAATCTGAACTGTTTGGAATAAAGTTTTTGATTGGCCTGTCATTGAATGCATGTAATCTGTGTAACATTATTTCTCAAGGATTGAAAACCTGCCATTTCCAATAACTTAGAAATAAGTTTTGACAGGCCATTAAAGTTCTCAATCTTTGACATTTGGCTGTTATTTATTTATTTATTTATTTTTTAATACAGATTGCTAAATGTTATTCTTAGCAGTTGACAATGAAGAAAATGTTCTTTTACCTGCTAGAATTTTAAAAATCTATTTTAGCAGATCTTTATGTTATGGCTTTTTATTTTTATTTTTCCTTTTCGCTCCATGTTCTAATGAAGAATAAGCAAGTGAATATCACTGAAACATAAAACAATAGCATTTTATTGCCTGAGTTCTTTTTTTTTTTTTTTTTTTTTTTTTCCGTTTTCCTCACTAAGAATCTTAAAATGGACCTGCTGTTGTTTGATGCTAAGATTGCTTGTTTAGTAACTATATCCTTGTGAATTGTATGATATCCTTGTATGTGTATGGATCTGTTCTCCTACTTACGTTTGATGAGGTCACTGTTTATTGATTCATATTTTTATTGATCCTAGTCTGCATGGTTATATTACAACTATTGATGCCTCAAAATCTAAGCATACCATTCTGTATGAACCAATTACTTAACTCCTGTGCTAATGCCCCCTGCTCATTGATTCTTTATGTTACCAGGGAATGCATAGTTGCATAGTTTCACTAATCACAAGGTATAATTTCTGTGTCCTTGCTGAAAGATCTACCACATTTTTTTCATTGTCAAGATATATTGTTTTCATTGCAATCTGATGCGTATCTTATTATATTAGAAAATGGAGAAGCTGTGGGCAGAAGACAGTGAATCTGCCACTTCTAGGAGAAGTTTCCATTCTCTCTTTTGTTGTGTTGATTTTCTGTGTGGGTTTTGCCATCTCCTGGGCTGCTACTCGGAAGTCATCTTACTCTTGGATTGGACAAGACATTCTTGTAAGATATCAACAAGCCCAAATGCCTCTTTCTTTTCTTTTTCAAAATTTGGCGTCTGATATGAAAACAATTCCACCATAAACTGGTTGCTCTATCAAACATTTATTAATAAAAAATCATGAGCTGATGATTCTTCCCACGGGCCAGGGTGTTAAGTCTGGTTGTTGAGGCTGATTTACCTTATTTTATTTTGTAAATTTATTATGAACAATTTGAGAGCTCTGTCTGCAGTTACGAAATCTGATTTCTGTATCATTTGGTAGCCTCTGATATTTCTGTCAAATTTTGAGCTGTGCAACAGCTACCCATCTTGTTAAAATTCTGTCCACCCATTGATGATAATCTGTGCATGTCAGGGCATTTGTTTGATGATAACTGTCTTGCAATTGGTTCAATTACCAAATATAAAGGTATGTGGTTGTGTTATGCAAGGACTTCATTTTGGAGATCTCTTTTTCAGCGGTTACGTTTGCTGTATTTTAGGTTGCCACAGTCCTTCTGTGTTGCGCATTCCTGTACGATATCTTTTGGGTATTCCTATCTCCATTTATATTCCACGACAGTGTTATGATTGCGGTATGTTCTTATGTTTTCATTGCTCTTGTTCACTTCCATGTAATATTCTTATGTGGATAACGTGATTCTGTTATACGCTATTCCTGATTAACTTGTGCAACTAGCTTTGGGTATGTTTTTTTGGAGGTTTGTATTTTGGGTTTGGATTTGAATAGTAAAAAAGTTGAATTGGATTTGTATGATTGATATAAAAAGTATTGATATGATGTTTTGAATGTAAATTTGATTTTTAGTATAATATATAAATTGAAAAATAGATGTTTGATTTGATATTTTTCGGAGGGAAATTTTGTGTGAATAGTCAAAATCTTTCAAGATCCTTCAAACAAACACAACTTTTATTAATTTCTGTCTGATAATGTGTTACCATTTTGTCAGTTTATGTTCATCATTTGTTCTTCTGTTTTATCCGTTTACATTCTTTGGGTGATAAATACCACCTCCTGGCTCATTTTGTGCTTTTAGATGCCATTGTTTTGTTAGAACCCCTAATGAATTGAGACGCTATTATAAGCTGAACGAATTTTAAGCTGGGATTCAAATTGAAACCTGGCTTAGGTTTCCACCCATGTGAATGAAATCGCCTATGAGATCAAACAGATGATTGGAAAACAAATTAGGACTTAACTTATTTTAGCACATTGGCATAGATTTTTACATCTTTTAACACACTGGTAGAATTATGTGGCATTGGTTATTGGTAAAATCTTTTTCCCTTCAAATCTCTTCAAAATTGTGTTGGATCATTTGTTTCCTCTACATGGACTGCTTGCACCTAGTGAATCTTTTTTAATTGTGAGAAAGTGACATGATATATTAATAATTGACACTAGGGGACATGATTAAGGTTTCACTCACAATGAGTTGTCTTATTAATCGTATCTACCTGAGTGTTTCCCATGTCATCTAGGTTGCTGAAGGTGATAGAAGTGGCGGAGAGTTAATTCCCATGCTTCTGCGAGTTCCTCGATTTTCTGACCCTTATTACGGCTATAACATGATTGGCTTTGGAGACATTCTTTTCCCCGGTTTGCTAGTTTCTTTTGCTTTTAGGTATTTTTATCTGCCCCTTATATTTTATGATGGCATCGTATGACAATAATAATGCCTTTATTTTGAATATCTATCCATCCCTTAAGTCTCTAGTTTCATTAGTTTGTTGTGGAAATCTTCATTGACATATTTTTGCAGTCCATACTACGAATAGAATTAATTTTTTTATTTTTAATGATATTATTATAATAAAAGTCAGAAGAGCAGTAGTATAATTAAACATATTGCAATCGCAAATCTGGAAATTATTTTCTTTCCACTATATTTCTATTTTCAACTCCTTGACTACGGATTTATCCACTCTTGCCTCTCAGATATGACAAAGACAATAAGAGGGGAATACTGAATGGATATTTTCTCTGGTTGACAATCGGCTATGGAGTTGGTTAGTGAACATTCTGTAAATTTGTGTATTCCCTTTAGGTTGATTACCCATTTGCTGTTTATTACCTCCAATGATATCGGAATGGCAGCAATTTTCTACACAATTATGCATCCGTATACTTGAATTCAATTGAGTTTCTTAGTCAATAATCTGTCGATTTTGGCTGAGAATGACTCAACTTATGGACATGGAATATCTTTCACTGCAGGACTGTTGTTTACTTACCTAGGGCTGTATTTGATGAATGGACAGGGTCAACCCGCCCTTCTGTACCTGGTCCCGTGCACACTGGGTATCGATATTTATTTACTGCCACCCATTGTCTCATATCTATTTCATTTTATTTTTTCTCTTCCTTGACTTGTGGTTCTCCACTCCAATCGCAGGAACTTTCATAGTGTTGGGTATGATAAGACGTGAATTGAAACGGCTTTGGACTTATGGCCCTGATTCAGGAGCAACCGTTCCTCCCTCAGGAGAAGTTTGATGCAGGTAAACTTTTCCCTTAAATATAAAAAAAAAATCGATGAAGTTTGATGCAGGTAAACTTTTCCCTTAAATTAAAAAAATCGATGGGCCAACTGATCTAAAGTATACCTGTCAAGTTTTGGCTCATTTTGTGCTAGTGAATATCGTCGTGATCAAAAGCTTCAGTCTCTGTTAAATGATAGTTACATTATTATTATATCCAATGGCTAACTCTGATACACTTGATGTCATTCTGGTTTTTGCTTTTCCCTTTCTTATCCGCAGTTTGATTTATGGATTTGAAAGGATAAGGAAATGTTGTATAATTTTTAGTATATTCTTTGGAAGGTTTCAAATTATAAGAAAAGTTGTTTCCGGGGAACTTTTCTTATCTAATTTGATTTATCCATGACCTCGTGTTTGTTTGGTTTTGGTTTGAGTTCGAATTTGAGTTTTTTTGTTTAAATAATATTTTGATGTTGTGATCAGTGAGAGAAGATATTATACTTTTCTGGAAGAATAGTGTTGGTTATGATTTGAAGTCAAAATCAAACACGAATATTACGATTTAGAATATATCTTCTTGCAACTGCATCAACTTTGATTGTCATTTTAGGAAGGAATGGACAGGAGTTGTGGAATCAATTTTATTTTTTTTACGACGTGGGAATCTGCAGCTGCTACCCAAAAGTACGCACTGGGTAAACCTCCGGTCGAACCTAATAACTTACAAACTAGGCCCGACAGGCAAGTCACACTATATGTGGCAGGTGAGCTGAGGTGTTGGTTGTGGAATCAATTATTAACATTACTATACATGATTTGCCTAGTGTGACTTGTCTGTCGGGCTTAGTTTGCAGGGTATTAGGTTCGGTCGGAGTTTATCCAGTACGCACTTTCGGGTAACGGCTGCGGGTTCCCACGTTATAAATTTTTTTTAACATTATCACATGATATTGATCCATGGTGGATGTCATTTTCCGAGCAGGTTGTTGTCTGAAAGTTAGGCACTTTTTATGTAAGGGTTGTATTTGGAATTCTTGCCAAGTTGGTGAAAAATAATAAGAACACGGATAAGGGAATTCCAATGACAGATTAGATCTAGCTAATGAGTCCATTTATATCATATTCTTGGAAGGGTTTTATGGTTTTATTTTTATTTGAAAATTGTTGAATGTAATATTTTATGTACAGGGAATATTACATAGTTAAAAACTAAGAAAAAGAGGAAGAGAGAACAGCCAGAAGTTTAAACATTTTATCCAACGGAGCATGTGTTTAGATCATATCAATTATAAGGGAATAAGAAATCAATTTTATACACATGTTGTGTTAATATACTTTTTATGTTAGCATGCTATGTATAAACTACTTATATGTATTATATTATATTTAATTATATAAAAATATGCTTTATATTATTAATTAATATTTTATATACTCTCTCCGTTCCGGTACAAGATTGCCGTTTACTTTAAGTAGATTTTTTAATATAAGTATTATAATGAGTTGTAGTGAAAAAGACGAAAATACTCCTATTAGTATTGTGTAATATAAAAGTAATGATATTTGTGTAATATAATGTAAGTTGAAAGGGTATTTATTATCTTAGGTAGGTAGTACAATTACTAAATTAAAAAATGGACGAAAATAGAAAATGATAATCTTTCAATGGAACGGATGAAGATTAATTATACTTAGCATGGTAACAAATATTTAATTTTAAATAGAAATATTACTAGACATACAACATTGATGTTAAAATAATAATGACAACATATATGATATGAATTATTATAATGCACTATTTTCAATGTTCGTGAAATTTATTCGTTTTATTTTTTTCTAACTGTTCGTTAAATTTGTCATATTATTATATTCTGCAAAATAAAAAAAATAATATTTATTTATAACGAATATTACTAATTTTATTATTATTATTTTATTTTTTTCTGTCATTCTCTTTAATTATTAATTAAATTTTTAAAAATATCTTCAATTTATTTTATTATTTTTTATGTTTTTAATAAAATAATTATTTTTCTTTTAATATCGTATTAAATAAAGTGAGTATAATATTTATACGTAATTTACTGTGTTGAATAAGAAATATAAGTACTATGGTGATTTCTCCATTTAGCAGCATATAAATAACACAAACTTGTGGTATGATTTTCTTAGCATATTTGAAGTATAAAAATAACATAAATTTGTTTTTAACATGTGTTGTATCAAATAAAAGTACATGACTGTAGGGATTGGATTTGTAATCGGTTATGGGTTCAAACCCCGACGCCTCAGGTCATCTGCCACACATGGTTCGTCTAGTGTGACTTTCTTGTCGGGCCTGGTTTGCAGAGTATTAAATTCTGTCGGAGGTTTACCCGGTGCGTACTTTCGGGTAGCGGACGCGGATTGCCAGGTCATCAAAAAAAAATAAAAGTAGATGACTGTACCACATAAATACATTATTTGTGTTGAATTCAACTCCGTTCGTCCCAAATCAAAAAGGAATTTGGGGTTTTGTAATAAATTAAGAAATAATATTTTATTAGTCAGTATGTTTGTAATTTAAATAAAGTTAAAATTATTTTAGTGTTAGTATATGATTATTTTTTTAAAAAAATAAGAAATAGATATTTTGAAGTGGAACATACGAAAATAAACTCAATTCAAAGTACTATTTTTACAATTTTTCATCCGTCTAACTCAAAAGTATTCATTTTATTTTTTAGTAAAAATAATTATACACTAATATCAAAATACTCTTTTAATTTTTATTTAAATTATAAGCATATCATTACATATATAATTATTTTTTATTAAAATAAAATGACAAAAATATTAAACTTCTTGCATATTTATACTATTATTTTTTAATTTATTATAAAATTCCAAAAGATCCCTTTCAAAACGGAGGGAAGAGAGTATATTATAGTAAAAGAGTATCATCTATAATTAAATTCAGCACAAGAAGCATTTGTACATACAAACACTGACAAATATAGATCCGATTCAAAAATTCGATCCGAATCAACCAAAAAAAATTGTGTTTAAGCCTCCAAAAATATATTCAAAATTTTTTGAACACACCATTAAAGCAGGTTGTGCCCAAGCCCATGATCATCGAGCTATGTTTGGCCCGACCCAACTTATTAAAATTAGTATTTGAAATTTAATACTCCTTCCGTCCGGCTACAAAATATACATATTTTTATTTTAGATGTCCAATTACAAAGTAAGTATTTCATTAAATACTTCATTTTTATTTTTTTTTTCACATATACCCTTATTTTACATCACATCGTTACTTTTATACCAAAAAATAAGAGTAAAAATATTATTACACTACTTTTACCTAATCAGTATAATTAAAATACTATTATTTTTTAACTTAATGCAAAAAGTAAATATATAATTATTGTGTGGACTGAGAGTATTATTATATAATAATACTAACTAACGAAATTTAAAAATCAAAATATAGCAAGTACTTATCTTATTTACCAGATTTGATTTGATGCTAATATATTTCAATTTAGGGTGTTTGAATAGACAAAGTTAATTATTCTTAATTAATATAATTAAACAGTATAATTGATATAATTATTTCGGTGGAGCCTAAGATTTAAAAAATATTGATATTATATTTATATTTGGTAAAAAAAATATGAGTACAATATTTTTATTTTTGTCCTTACGAGTGTATTAGTGTAAAAGATAGTGACATTTGTGTAATAATAATGAAAACGTATGAATAACTTTATAATGATATAAATATTTATAAAAATAAGAATATTATTTTAAAACACAGAAAAAAAAAATTATAAATAAAATTATTTTATTAAAACAGAAAAAGTATAATTTATTAATAACTATTCAACGAGGTGCTGAAGAAATTTTTTCAGCACACCTGATCACTCGCCCTTATTTACACATGGCTGTGCCGAATAATTATATTCTTTTATCATATTTTTCTTTTAATTTTTTACTATTTACAGAAAAAAATTAAAAAATATAGGAATATTTATACCATATTATAAAATTACTTCAATTAAAATATTTTTTTATTTAAATTTCAACTAAAAATAAAAACCATTAATGTACTCCCTCCGTCCAATTATTTGTGTTTGTTTTACTATATATATATATATGACAATTTAGGTAAAATATAATTAATAATTTAAAAAATATATTAATAAAAATAATTATTATATAATAAAATTACTTATAAATTAAAATTAAAATAATTAAATAGTATAATTAAGACTAATAAAATTATAACTTATAAATTTTAAAATATAATTAAAGTATATAATAATATTTTTTTTAAAAATAAATAAATAAAGTGAGACGAAGAAAAATAAAAATAATGTGCAAAAAAGGTGTGAAGAAGAGAAAATCAAATAACGATGGTCATTTTGTGGATTATTTCAAGCGCCATTTTGAGGAAGTGATAGGAAGCTGGCCCACATTGTCAGTATCAAAGCTCAGTAGTATTTCAGAGAGTTCGAAAGCATGGTTAAATCGTTCAATGAATATAGAGGAAGTATGGAGCTGTTCTCAGTTGTCAATGTGAGAAAGCTCTGGGCCCAAATGATTTTAACTTGAAATTTTTCTTAGTCTTTTGGGAGCAATTGAGTGTAGAAGTGATGGATACAGTGAACAAATTTGAGGATCATCTTCATATTCCACAAGGCTTTAGGGCAACATTTATTTCCCTTATCCCTAAATCGCCGTCTCCAATTTCATTTGATGATTTCCGACCAATCACTCTGTTATGTAGCTTGTACAAGACAGTAGCAAAGACACTTAGCCTCAGAATGCAGGAAGTCATGTCAAACATCATTGGTTCTCAGCAAATGACTTTCGTTAAAGGCAGACAAATGGAGGCAGTGCAGTGGGCCATAAAAGGTAAGAGTCAGGTGTTCGTTATCAAACTCAACATTGCCAAAGCATACGATAGCGTATCTTGGCAAGCAAAATTGGAAAATTCCCTTACTTTGATGAACTTTGGTGATAGATGGATCTCGTGGATCCTTAAATGTATAAAATCAGTATCAGTGGCAGTCTTAATAAATGGATCCCCAACAGAATTTTTTCGAATTAAAAGAGGTTTACGTCAAGGGATCCCCTATCTATTTTTGCTAGTGGCAGAAGTTTTGAGTTCTTTAATCAACCGAGCCATTGATCAAGATGTGTTAAGGGGAATTAAAGTGGGAGAACTGGGGTTGGCAATTATGCCATATACAATATGCGGATGATTCAATTTTATTCGTAGAAGCGGATTAGGATCAGATGCTGGTGCTTAGGCGAATCTTGAGGATATTCCGGATTTGCACGGGTCTGCGGGTTAACCTGTTAAAAAGCAAGGTGTATAGAATCAATGTTAACAATGAGGAGTTGAGTAGAGGAGGGGGATGCTGGGTTGTGGAATAGGGCAGTGGCCGGGCCAGTATTTGGGAACTCCCATTGGTGGGAGATATTTTACGATGAGTCTGTGGAAATCCATTGCTGACCTATATACAAGCTAAACTCAATCAGTGGAAATGGAGAATTCTCTGGCAGACAGATAGAACATGATTGATTAAAGCTGTCTGTAACGCCTTGCCGAATTATTTTCTATCAATTTTTCGGATGTCGACATGAGTGGCAGAGAACATAGAAGAATTAATAAAAAAAAATTCTGAGGATAGTGAGGATAAAATAAAATTGAGAATGTTAAGTTGGGGTTTAATTCAGCTCCATAAGAAATTGAGTAGTTTAGGAGTGAAAAATATCTATGTTAAACCTTGCACTCTTATACAAATGGAAATGGAGGTTCCAAGAAGATAAACAACTGTAACAAGTGGTGAAAAGCTCGGGGTCGATCAGAGGGGAGGCTAGATCCTGCTTGATTCCCAAATTGGGGGATAAAAGGTTCGACATGGTATAATATAGGGAAAACTTGGCTGAATTTTGAAAATCAGTTGCCTGCGGGTTTGCAGTTGCATGCTATAATGGAAATTGCCTCAAAACGAAATTCTGGCAGGATATTTGAGTGAAAAATGCTAGGCTGAAAGACCTTTACCAGCAATATTTTAAATATATGTATAGCATTAAAATATTTGTATTAAAATTTATTTGTTATATATATTTTGATATGATATTTTATAAAAAAAAAAGAAAATATATTTGCATTTGTAATAGAAGCAAATAAGCCCAAAAGAATAATTAAAAATAATTAATTTTTTTATTATTTATGTATACAATAATTAAATAAGGATCTCATTTTTTATTTTTGCTCAACCCATAAAAACTCAGGAACGCCTTGAAAGGAGCCAAGGGAGACTCAGACTTGGTGAGTTGGTTGTTATTGGGCATAGTTGGTTATATTCATTTGTGATTGTTCATTACGTGTATGGTCACAAGTTGGTTGGGAAAATTCAGATGAAATTTATAAAGGAAGAACATATATAGAAGAACAGATGGTTATCATATTATAGTGGGTGATGGTTGTTGCTGGTGTTTTTTATGCAGTGTATTGGATGCTGAAAATTAAATCTGAGACATTAATGTTTACTCAAAAATATGTACGGGGTAAAATTTCGATTGAACCTGTTGGGGTGCAAACCCAAGTCCCACATCGGAAGTTGTGAAGAAAATTTCACACCTTATAAGTCCCAAGTGAACTCCACTAGTATGAGGCTTTTTGGAGGATATCCAAAAACAAATCCGTGCGGGCTCAGCCCAAAGCGGACAATATCATACTAGTGTTGAGTTGACCCAGTCCTATAGTCCTTTCGGATCCACCCCAATAATACACAATATACACACTATGCAATCCAAATTACATCCAGGCCCTAGCCCACATTACAGGCCCACCTTCTTCGACCCGTGACCCACGGGGCTCCGCATCTTTCTGAGATTGAGTGCTGGCTGTCCGATTTGGTGCTTGAATCCTGGCCGTTCGTTGATGGTTGACCTAAGTATATATACAAGAGAGTGCGTGAGGGGCGCTGTCATTCGATATGTTCTTCCTCTCTCTAAACACTCGCCTCTCTCCCTAGCCTAATCCCACTCTCTCACTCTCACGATATTACGGCGACTTTCGGCTGTTTCACGGCGGTGCCTTCCTCTTACTTTTGTGTGGAGCTTCCTTGGCACCTTTGTTTCCTATTTTATTGATTTGTAACCGCAAGGGGCTCTTTTTAACGTGGTAGCCTTGATGTGTTGTTTTGTATGCCTCGCTACATTCTGTGAGGGTTATTTTTGTCTTGTATTGTGGGTTTTGGGCCGGTGTTTTTTGTGTTTGTCGCTAGTGTGTATGTGTGTGTCGATTTTGGCTATTTTTGTCTTGTATTGTGGGTTTTCGGGCCGGTGTTTTTTGTGTTTGTCGCTAGTGTGTATGTGTGTGTCGATTTTGGCTTTTTTTGAGTTAGTTGGGGCTGAGTCTAACCAAACTAGTCTAATATTTTTTGTTTTACTTGATTTTGATAATAAAACTTAAGATCTATTCCATATTTTTCTATTACAGAACCTAATGCTCTGCAAATTAGGTCCAACAAGACAAGTCATACTACACAAATCATATATAACAGGTAATCTGAGTCCAATTTTCACGCCACCACGTGACCCCTTGTGGGACATGTTAACTCAGTTTTGCTATGTTGGCTTATTCATTAATATATCTGTTTTGCTTTTTACCAAAAAAAAAAAAAGGACGGCGGCACAATAAATAATTAATTAAATTTAAAGTGAGACATATCCCTAAGGTACGATGAGATTGGTCCTACCTCCAACAGCAGCAATAAAATCATCAAGAGCTTTCCACGCCGACCCTCCTCCGCCGTCCTCCGCCACCGCCGCCCTGATCTTCCTCCCGACCTCCGCCGCCCTCCTCCTCATCTCCGCCGCCTTCCGCCCCCCTCCCGCCGCCGTCTCCACCACTCTCCTCACCTCCTCCCGGCCGACCTCGCACTCCGCCCCCCGGCCCAACTCCACGCACACACCCATCTCCTCCGCCAGTAATTTACAATTATACCCCTGCTCCGCCGCCAACGGCCACCCTATCAGCGCCACCCCCTGGCTCAGACTCTCCACCGCCGAATTCCACCCGCAGTGGCTGAGAAACGCCGCCGTCGACCGGTGCCCCAAAATCTCCACCTGCGGGGCCCACCCCCGCACTAATAGCCCCTGGTTTTTCCTCGCCGTCCGTTCCTCGAACCCCGCCGGCAGCCACTCCCGCCGGAACTCGCCGTCGACGTCGAACCCCGCCGGCGGCCGGAGTACCCATATGAATGGAAATCTGCTGTCCTCTAATCCCAGGGCTAATTCCGTCATTTGCGAAAGTCCGATCGTGTTTTGGGAGCCGAACGAAATGTATAGAACTGATTTTTCCGACTGACCGTCCAGCCACCGGAGACAGTCCTCCGGCGAGACGCCGAACTTTTTTCCGGTGCGGGAATCGATTCCGGCGACGGCGGTTCTCGCAGGGATAATTAGAGGGCCGACGCACCAGACGGATTTTTGGACGTAGTTTTTTAGGATTTCGAATCCCAAAGATTCGATTTCCGCCGCCGTGTTGCAGAGCCAGCCGAAGGATTTGAGGCTTTTTCCGATCTGGGGCTGGAAGAAGCGCGACCAGTCGTCGGCGCCGTCGGCGGCGCGGAGGTAGGGGTGGAGATGGCTGACGTGGAATTGGTGGGCGGCGGGGAATCCCGGGAGGGAGAAATTCCCGTCGTCGGAGGAGGAGGTGCGGTGGGGGAGGTTTTGCCAGAGGGAGATGTAGGCGGCGGTGCCGTACGCGCCGCCGGTGGAGAAGACGACGTTGACGGTTCCGGTGGCGGCGGCGACGTCGTTGGCCCAGGCGGTGAAGACGTCGGAGATGATGCAGAGCGGGGGGCGGCCATCAGCGACGGAGATGCGGCGGATTAAGGAGCGGAAGGGGGTTTCGAGGGCGGCGGAGGCGTGGAAGAGTTTGATGACGTGGCGGAGGGGGAGGGCTTCGGTGTTCTCGACGGCCGGCGGGAGGTCGTGGTCGGAGCTGTCGAAGGGGAGCTCGTGGATGTGGATGTGGTTTTGGGGGTCGGCGGCGCGGAGGTAGCGGGCGTTGAGAGGAGTGGTGGCGATGGTGACGGTGACGGCGGCGCCGAAGCGGCGGCGGAGGTTACCGGCGAGGGTGAGGAAGGGGATGAGATGGCCCTGCGCTAGGAACGGCAGCATCACTATGTGCTGCTGTGATTTTTTGTCTTCTCCTTCTCCGGCAGCCATTTTTATGTTTTCAGAGTTCTTCAAAAACACATCAAAATGAAAATGTTGAGGGAGGTTTTATTACTGTAATCTGTCCCCCCTCGCCTCCTATAGTCCCATTTTGTTGTTTATGTTCATGTCAAATAATTGTTTGTGCTATTTTGTGGTGTTATATGTGTTTTTTGTTATTTTTTCGAATGTATTATGTAATTTTATTTTTTTTAAAATGATACTCCATGAATATTAATTATTATTATATTAATAAGTAAATAATATTTTTAAAGTAAATTATTAATTTTAATATGCAAAACCAAATGACAACTTTGTAGCGGAACGAAGGGAACGAAGGGAGTATATAATTTTATAATATTTTAAAAAATTATATATAATTTTTTTTAGAAAAAATAATGTATAATTTTTTATTTTTTAAAAATATATATAATTTATTATTATTATATAAATGTTAATAGCTCTTTCTGTTCCAACTAAATTCAATTTTTATTTCCCTTTTTTATATAACAAGCCGACACTTTTATTTTTTTACTTATTAATTAAATAACATATAATATGAAAAATTTACACAAAATCTACTTATTTCTATTTCTCTTGAAAAATAAATATTTTAATTTATATTTAAAATTTTATGTCTTTTATAAAATGGATTTATATTAATTATAAATAAATAAAATTTTTATTATAAAAAATTTATTTTTTTACAAATGATACGCATATGCATATATATATATATTTTATTGCGATATAATTTTTAAAATATTTAAATACATATTTAAATTTTTAATCATATATATAATTTATTTATTATCAATATTTTTAATTATATAAAAAATCAAATAATATTATAATTCACTATTATTAACTAATTAAACATTATTTATTTAAAGATTATGTCATGAAAGAAATCAACTTTATTAATTTGAGGTAGTATTTTTATGTTTAAATTGAAACAAGCTTTTTTACATAGATAAAAAATAAATTTAATCAATAATCTGTATATATTATTAATATAATGTCAAAATTTTTAAATTTTATGAGACAATCATATCCCAATTAATTTGGGATGAAGGACTATAAGTTATATTTGATACAAATAATAAAATTGCATAGAAAATAAATAATAAAATCGCACAAAAAATTCAATATGAAATGATAATTACTTTATTTGTTTAGTAAAACAAGAAATTATATGAAATATATATATATATACTATTATCTAAAATCGCAAAAAAAAAAATTCAATACGAAATGATAATTACTTTATTTGTTTAGTAAAACAAGAAATTATATGAAATATATATATATATATACTATTATCTAAAATCGCAAAAAAAAAAATTCAATATGAAATGATAATTACTTTATTTGTTTAGTAAAACAAAAAATTATATGAAATATATATATATACTATTATCTGGATGAATCGATCAATTAAAAATAATGATTAAAATAAAAAAAAATGTTCAGTGAAATTGTTAAAATAAATATTTTTTATATAAAACATATAAAATTATGCTAGAAATATAAAAATAATTAATATTTAATATATATATATTTTTTGGAAAAAAAAAAATTATTTTTTCTTGGAAAATGTGGAAGAATACACACAAATATTTGAGTGAGGAATAATCCACCTATTTCAAAAATAGGTTAAATACCTAATAAGATTGAATCAATGTTTTATAAAATTAGAATAATAATTTTTGAAAAACTCATAGAAATTAAATAGTACTCCATCCGTCCCAAACATACGTAACATTTCCTTTTTTATTTATCCCAAGTTCACTGCAATATTTTCAAATTTAGAAATAATTAATAATATTTTTATACATATATTAATATACATTTTACTTATCTCATCACATCACTCAAATAAAAAAAATAAATAATCATATCTCTTTCTAATCACATCATTTAATATCCAAAATATCTCAAATTACCATACTTAATATTCTTCACCTAAATTTTCGTGCCAAACACAAATGTTACACGGTGTTTGAGACGGAGAGAGTACTAAAAAGTAAAATAAATTAATTAATAAGCACATTGCATCATTTCTCAATATTTATTTTCCTTTATGAAGAAAAGAAATAAAAATAATTTATTTTTTAAATGTTATTTCCTTAGATTCAAACTAATAAGAAAAATTAAATCTTTTTATTTTTTATTTTTATCCATTTATTTTCCCGGACCAAAAGATATTTATAGTTCAAAAACTAAAAAATAAATAAATAAAAGGTAAGGAGTGGCTATGGTTATTCGACGAGACGTGTATATTGTCACGCTTACAAATTTATTTGGATCAATAATTATATATATATATATATATACACTTCTGGTTGAATAAATTAAGGTGTGTTTGTTTGAAGGATTTTGGCGGATTTTCACTGTTCATCCAATTTTTTCCCTCTAAAAACATCAAATCAAACACCTATTTTTCATTTTTTATATTATACTAAAAATCAATTTTACATTTAAAACATCACATCAAACCCTATTTATATCGCATCATACAACTATTCAAATTCAAAATTTTTACTATTCAAATCTCAACTCAAAATCCAAACCCCCAAACAAACACACCCTAATTGAGGGATTTTGTGGGATTTCTACTATTTCCATCAAATTTTTCCTCTAAAAATATCAAATCAAATACTCCCTCGGTCCTATTGAAAGGTTACCATTTTCTATTTTCGTCAGTCCCAAAACAAGGTTACTACATATCTAATATAATAAATGTCCTTTCAACTTACAATATATTACACAAATGTCATTACTTTTATAATATTACACCATATTAATAGGGGTATTTTTATTTTTTTTTACTACAATTCAATATAATACTAATATTCAAAAATCTACGTGTAAAAAGCAAATGTCACCCTTCCAATAGGACGGAGGGAGTATTTATTTTTCATTTTTTATATTATACTAAAAATCAATTTTACATTCAAAACATCACATCAATTCTTATTTATATCGCATCATACAACTATTCAAATTCAAAATTTTTACCATTCAAATTTCAATCCAAAATCCAAACCCTCGAACAAACACACACTTATTGAATTAAATCATTAATATAGTTATTACAATAGAACACGGGTGTAATTATAATTTAATACTCCCTCCATTACATATCACCTTTTTTTTTTTTTTTTTTTTTTTTTTTACGTCCCATAAAATATGATCTTTTTTTTATTTTTAGTAAGTGTATCAATCTTAAATATACTTAACAAATGTAGATCAATTTAATTAAATATTTAATATTTTACACATAGACCCGTTCAAAATCCCTTTATTTCTATATATCTCTTCGATTAACAAATATTTTTATATACTTTTAAAACTCCTCATTTTTTATAATACTAATTTATGATAATAATAAATAAATAAATATATTATTTTATTCATTTGTATTATATAAAATTTTATTGTCTACAAAATTATATCCATTTTGCATATACTTTTTTTTAAATATAATTGTAAAAATATTTAAAATACCAACAACACTACACATCTAAAAAATAATAAAATATTATCTTCATTTATTATTAATAAATTAATAATTTATACTACTTAAAATATAGTGTCTTTAACAAAAACTTTATCTTCAGGATGGAAGGAGTATAGTGAAGGTCAAGAGATGGAAAATCACTTTAAACAGGAATTTTGGAGAAATTTCAAAATAATATAAAAAATAAAATATTAAAAAATATTATATTACTTGATATAATATTTTGAAAAATTATTATTTATAAATAGTTTTAAGACTTAAAAAAAAAAAAAAAAACCATATATGCATATAAAAGAATTGTATTACTCTTTCCATCCCAAAAGATTTGTCTTGTTTTTCTATTTTCGTTTGTTCCAAAACAATTGTCTTGTTTCCTTATTTAATAGTGGTTGTCCCCATTTTATAACAAAATTATTCTTACTTTTACATGCTACTCCTAATTATTACTCTAACATATTCTTTAAAATCCTTCAAAAAGTAAAGGCATTTTAGTCATTTATATTCTACTTTATACCCACTTTTAATTAAATATTATTATTTTTTAATTCTCGTGTCCACTCTCAATAAGATACTTCTTTTGGATCGGAGAGGCTATTTGTTTATTGCGTTTGAAAATGATTTCAAGATCCAAAAATCTCTTTCTTTGTTTAGATACAAGAATTTGGCTCATTTGTCACGCTTCACTTTGGACAGTCCGCCGTAATCAATTTTCTTTTTAAAATTTAATTTATTAATATATTTTTAGAACAAATAATTCATTTGATTTGTGATATATTTTACCGTCAATTAAAAATAGTCAATTTGGATTCGGCATGGAGTTTAAGAAAAATAAATATTTTATTGAAAAATTGATAGGTAATTGGAGATATTTTGAAAATTTAGTTAAAAATAAAAGTAAATTAAGAGATAACGTAATAAAGTTGGTAATATTTGTTATAAATAAGTGTTGAATGAAAACTAATAGTTAAATGTTGACTTTGTCAAAATTAATAATGAATTTAAAATGTATATAATTTTGCAAGAAATTAATAAGACACTTCAATTCCCACCGCCATAATTTTTTGGAATTATTTTATTTTTTTTAAATATTTAATTTGAATAATTAATTAAAATTGGCTAAAATAATAAATAATCTAGTAAAATTAAGATTATTTGGGATAATAAATAACAAAATATGTATAAAATTAATAACAAATAATCTAATAAAATTAGAATTTATTGAGATAAAACTATAAGAATATGGATAAAATTAATAACAAATAAACTAATAAAATTAGAATTTATTGAGATAAAACGATAAGAATATGGATAAAATTAATAAAAAATAATCTAATAAAAATTAGGATTTATTGAGATAAAATAACATGATAAAGTTAGGATTTTGTATATCTATATGTATATATATATACACAAGAGACTAAGTCAAATAATCAATTCATAATCGTTTACAACAAAAATTATAAGGAGTTTTCGTCCAAAACTGCGCATGTTCGAATGAAAACAGCTATCACCACTTGGATAACTGTCGGATTAAGGCGAAACTTTTAAGAAGTATTCATAATTCGTTACGTTTTCAATTCAACAGTTGTATTTTTGATTGGATGTCTATAATTCGATCAGAAATTTACAGAATGTGACAGATTTTTCATATTTGTTTTTTTAATCTTGATTTTTTTTTTTAATTAGTGATTTTCGTTGGTTGACTAAATGGAGATTGAGTGTGCTTATATGCATTTTGAAAAAAATTATATATTTAATTTGATTATAATGAATTTTCAACTTTGGTTTGGTCGATCCATGATTTTTTATTTTTATTTTTACAATTAGTTACCATTCTTCATATTCTTTCAATGGAGTGAAAGATTTTTCACATAGAAAAATATCATATCTCTTTCATAGTTTATTTACGCATATAAAGATTTATCATTCCTTATATTTTTTACAAAGGAATTGTATTTTTCCATCAATATATATATAGAGAAATTTTTATAATAAATGATTTTGTGTTTAATTTTTTAAAAATTTAAATTTGATATCCATAAATTAACCATCGTGTTCTTTTTATATTGAATTATCTTATTTTTATTATTATATATATTTTTATTTTTTACTAATCAATTATGTTATTCATACTATGATGCAAGAAAAAAAAAATCAAATGAAAATTACAATATGGGTGTGTTTGTTTGGGAGTTTGGATTTTGAGTTGGGATTTGAATAGTAAAAATTTTAAAAATTTGAATAGTTGTATGACGTGATATAAATAGGTGTTGATGTGATGTTTTGAATGTAAAATTGATTTTCAGTATAATATAAAAAATAAAAAATAGGTGTTTGATTTGATATTTTTGGGGGCAAAAAATTAGATGAACAGTGTAAATCTAATCGAATCCCCAAACAATGTATTTTGTTATATACAATATTTGTTTTCTAATTAATTTAGTTTAGAATATTATTTTATGAGATTTATTTTTTTTTAAGAAAAAATTGTAAATTACATTCAAATTTCAAATGTTGTGATTCTAATGAATGTTAGAATAGAAATTTTATTTTTATTTTAGTACATTAATTTTTACTTTGTATATATTTAATATTATATATATATATATATTTTACTAATCAATTTTGTCATCTGATTACATATGTATTTTTTTTTCATGATTTGGTTTTGAATATAATATTTTAATACATTTTCAATTTTATAAATTATGTTAGAATTTCAAACCTTTTGATTTGAAAAAATATTTAGGAAATTGATATAGAAAATTATAATAAGTTTTAACATATAAAAAATTTATTTTTATTATAGTAGTTTCATTTTTATTAGTTATCTATTTTGTTATTCTTATTTTCTGAAAATTAATCTTGTTTTAAAATTTGAAAACATTGATTCTCCCCTTAAAATATTAAATCAAATACCATTTTTAAAAAAAAAATACTCCATCGTCCCTTAACAATCTATCCATTTTTCTATTTTGGTCTGTCTCATAAGACCTTTTTTAAGTAATTGTACTGTCTACCTAACATTACAAATACCTTTCCAATTTACAATATATTATACAAACATCATTACATTTATATCATACAATACTAATAGGGTTAATTTAGTTTTTTTACCTTTATTTCTACTTTATTCCAATATAATACTAATATTTCTAAAACTCCGTGTAAAAAGAAAATTGATATATAGATATGGGACAGATGAAGTATATAATATATATACCCAACACAATAGTATACTCCATGCGTCTCATATCAATAAATCTATTTGTTTTTTGCACAAATTTTTAGAAATATTAATATTAGTATTATATTGGTATAAAGTAGAAATAAATATAAAAAGACTAAATTAACCCAATTAGTATTGTATTATATAAAAGTAATGACATTTGTGTAATATATTGTAAATTGGAAGAGTATTTGTAATGTTAGATAGATAGTACTATTACTAAAAAAGAAAATTAATATTTTGTTATGGAACAGATCAAAATAGAAAAATGGATAGATTGTTAAGGAACGGATGAAGTATATTATAGTATATGTTTATAAAAAATTATACAAAAATTTATTTTTTATATTGCAACACACTTTGTATCCAACATAAAAAATATTTTAAACTAAAAATATAAAAAACACATAAATTTAATTACATTTTTAATTTTCATTTTTATAAAAAATAAAAAAAATACAAATATAATTTATACATACAATTTAATAAAATATATTTTCAAATAGTTTAGATAATTAAAATTTTTAAATATAATTTATAAAATTCTAAATAAATTAGAAAATTTTAATAAACAATATACTATTTACATTACTATGTTCTATTTGATAATTTTTATAATTTAAAAGCACTTTCAACTTTATTATATCAAAACCAAACTAAAAAACTGCTTTTATAATTACTCATCCAAACATAAAATCGAACTATTTGCATTTGCTTCTACTTTTGACTTCTACTTATTTTTTAAGTCAATTCAAACGGCCGTAATGAAATTATTCTGGCTTCACTTGTATGTACCAGACACAAACACAAGAACTTAAAATACAGGATAAACTGTTTTTTTTAGTCCTGTAAATGGAGCCTGTCGCAAACACAAGAACTTAAAATCATTTTTTTTTTCATTTTTCTAATTTTTTTTTTAAAACTTATTTTTAATTTATTTTAAATTTTATTTGTATTTTTTTCATTTTTTTAATTTGGTACAATAAAAAAAATTAAAAATTAAAAAATAAAAAAATCGGGTGTCGCTCACCTGGCGGGACACCTTGCGGACATGTCACCTCCGGCGAGCCACGTGGGCATCTCCGGCGCTAGAGAACTAAAATGATAAAGGAGTCCAGTTACGGGACTAAAAAAACAGTTTACTCTAAAATATATACCATTTCGTGGATAAGAAGATTTCACTTAATCATAAGGCATAAGCTCCGGCTCCGGCTCCGGCTCCGGTCCATCGCCTGAAAATACTTCACCAACACTCAGGCAACAGAAACTCCGTCATAAAGCATTGATCATAATATTTATTTCCAAACTTGCCGGGACAAATCCGAAAAACCAAAAAATCAGAGTAGCCATGGATGGACAGACCAGACCAGACCAGACCATTCCTCCCAAAGTGATAAAACATTCATCGCAGACATCAAAACCAAAAATGTTTCAACGACGACGTCGAGCGAGCGCCTATCGCGACTCCGACTCCTAACATGCATTATCGATCCTTTTACAAATGCATTTCTTTATCCATCCGCCTGCCTGCCTGCCGAATAAATGACACAAGAACAACAGAGTATGAAAAAATTATACAAATGCAGGACCCCTGCAATGACGAATGGACAGACGACTGCAGAATTAGCTTCCTCTTATGTAGAAGAACCAATTCGTCGAAAACCAACATCATCTCTCGAGACTCAAAACTCGAGTCCCTAATTGCAAGCCGATTTTGCCAACAAAGACGAGCCAAGGGCTCAATCCAGACTCTCACTCTTCGTTCTTTTTAACGACTAACAAAAGAATTCAGATGTATTACCGACAACTTGATAGTTTGTATCACGAGGCAGCTGCGAGGGTTTCTGTCACTTTCGCCATCTTTTCCTTTTCAATCTCTACTTTTCTTGCCTCAGCGTGCTGAGCAATCCCATTTGCAAGCGCGTGATAGTGAAAATCGAGCGTGTTCATAAGGCTCTGGAACCGCAAAGAGTCTGATACTTTCAGAGCTGCAGAACAAACGGCATAGAGATAAGGAGACTGATTGAATTTTAGCTTTTTTTTTGTTCGATCACTCTTTAGTGTAATGTTTTACCATTCGCAGTGTCCACGAAGAAAATGAAAGGGTCGACATCATCAATGGGGGATTGCAACTCTTCATCATCACTGAAACCATCATCTGAGTCGTCGTCATCCGATTCAGCACTACGGAAAGCCTTGGCCTGCATATCCAAATCTTAAATTTAAGTTTTTTACAAAAAACAAATAACGGAAAAGTGAATCCCAGCAGTTGAACTCAATGCTTATCGAATGCACGACTAGTCTACATTTTAATGGTCGCAAAATGTCGCGATCGATATTTCATTGTTTGGGAAGCCTAGAAACATAAAAACTTTAGTGCATCAAGAAGCCCGTGCGCAACATATCCATCTCAAACTTTAAGATCAAAAAGTATATTCCATGCATATCTAAATTATCTCTTGTATGCATTGTTCAGACTTTGGGAAGTGGAAAATCATATTAAGAAAAAGAATCAATTAATCAACACCCACCTGAGCAGCTAATTTCTGAAGTTTAGCACTGTTAGCTTCATCACCATCTTCAGCATCAACCCCCATCTCATCATCAGAGCCATCACCATCATCGTCATCATCACTTTGAAAAGTACCCATTTCGTCGTCATCTTCACCATCCTCCTCTTCTTCCTCTTCCTCCGCCTTTGCAGACTCTGTTCAAATTGGCAAAAGATATAATTATATATGAACAACAAAAGTTAGTTTGATGTTCATTTTCACGTAATGGCAAGCAAACGAAGCAACCTGCCACTTGTTCCTTATATGCAACAAGCAGATCAAGCGTAGATTTGAAAACACGCTCCAGTGCTTCTACGGGCAACTGATCAGCAGGGAGAGGGATCAAGGCTGTTAATCCCAGACAGCACACCTTTTTCTCATGTTCCCTGTAAACAGAAATGATCAGTTCCTTTTACAGAACCAACGAAAACTGAGCTGAAATCCAAGCAGGAACATAAATTGAATACCTTTTAAAATTAGCGAGGGCTCCACTTTTTTTAAACTGTTTTAACATTTGGAACCAAAGGTTGAAAACCTCTGTTGCAACATTAAGTTTTTGCAGTATGTTGAGCGTCAACGGTGCATTATAATACAGTGCATCAGCAACCTGTCAACGAATACTTACATCTGTATCAATACTTGACCAATGGAGATTTTCACAAGAGGAGCCACAAATAAATTAAAAAAAAAAAAACCACAAAGATGCAAAATAATAATAATAATAGATAAAATCAAATCTCTGTAAAAATGCATCTTTCTTAATTGAATCGATTTTTTAGTCTAAAAGCACATACAACTTTTCAAGAAAATAGAGCAATTTATTCCAAAATAATGCAAACTGCTGGTCTGAGTATCTTTAAATTCTTAAAGGGAAAGATACATAAAACATTTGCAGCAGAATATACCAAACATCCGATTTTGCACAACATGCCACAACCCATGGCCAAAAGATGACTTTCAGTGACTAATATGAAAATGATTTCGCAGACTGAGGTATTAAGTAATGATACACTAGACTATAATGCATGTGAATTTAATGGATTGAAAAGTTCCAAATGATGTGTCAGATTCAATAATACTGTGCACATTTAGAAGGGGGAAAAAGGTTCTTTACCACTTCAATTAAGAGGCATTTTAAATAAGGCTTCTCAGCACGACGCAAACGCTCAATGGTGATTCTTAAGTAAGGCTCAACCCAATGATCAACCTGTCCTTTGCAGTTTTGAAACAAAACCTGGATCAGCTTAGGTGCTGGCACAATATCACCGTCCTCCAAATTTTTATCACCCATGACCTGTACGATTTGCATAAGGCATATGCTAGAGATCATCAGCGTGCTCATCTGGAATTTAGCATTAAAAAACAACTCACAGATGAAATCATGTTCCAGAGGCTTTGCTGGTAATCCGGTTCCTTGCATGTCAAAAAGTGTGCAGTGCTTCTGGAAATGTAGTTATCTAACGGTACCAAGATATCTGAAAATTGCAGAGCATGGAATAAGATTATTTTAATAATGAAAAGTATTCACGGAGTACAAATCCAGTATCTTTTTCCACTATAAAATAGAAGAGTTTGAAAACCAAAAATTACTTCCAATAAACCGAGAAAACATATCAATCGAAACGCACAAATGATCCAAGTAACAAAGTCCATAACGTTTACAAATTATGAAAGTTGTTCTACAAGACAAAAGACCACTATGACACAGTAAATGACTAAACCCATGTTACTTTGCTCATCGAACCAAATGAAGATGACATTTTTTAGCTTGTAAGTGATTTTGCATCTAAGAGAATCTAATGGTGTGTTTGATTGGGGATTTTTTAAAGTCTTCTACTATTCACTACTTTATTTTCCACAAAAACATCAAATCAAACTCCTATTTTTTTATTTATTTTTATTATATTAAAGATCAATTTTAAATTCAAAACTATTACATCAAATAACTATTCAAATTCAAAATTTTACAAACCCAAAATCCAAAACCCCAAACAAACACACTATAAATGGTGCAAAGAAATCAGACCAACTCAGATTCCTCAAATACTCACTAAGCTAAAAACTAGCAAGGTAGAAAAGTTTCTTGATACAAAATTGGCATTGTCGAAGAATCAACATGCCATAGTGTTAGAATCATATTGACTCCACCCTTCAGACATTTACAGATTGCAGAAAAACGTGGATAGCTCATTGAAGATTCAAGCAAAAAAGAACACTTAATTCAAGAAAGAAGAGTCAATAACAACAGTAATAATAAAGGATTCTTCAAATGCAAATTGAAATAGCTACAGCATACTTGGGAAAAAGTCGATGGCCCAGTCAGCCAGGGCATTCATCATTAATGGCCAAAGACTCCACATCTCCAGTGATATAGTAGGCGCAAAGAAGGTCATGTAAGAGACAATCTCCAAAACTTCCTCGAATACCTCTGCAAAATTAAATATAATGAACATATGAACATTAAATGAGCTAAGTTGTCCTCATCGAGGTCCGTGCATTCTAGCTATCAACTAGGATAGACATTCTGGATCAGATCACCCAAGTATCTGTTTGGAAAACATTGTATGCTAGTTATCAATTGCATTACAAGGTTTATGTTTGATTTTCTTGAACTTGTGTATAGCATGCCTTGACCTAATCTGTTGCTAGTTGTCAATCATAGATAGCGGTGCGTAGCAGTCAACATCTAGAATACTATAGCGGAGTAGCGGATAGCAATATGGCTGCTATTTAAATATTTAAGAATATATATCTAAATTATTATATATAAAAAATTATAACAAAAATAAGGCTGCAAAGACAGCTATCTTCTCCTTGCTTGCTCCCAGGCAGGCTTATACCATTAACACATGGCTCATTAAAAAAAAAAACTTATAAATTGATCTCGTAATAATCATCCAAGATAATAAAATATAAAAAAAAAAAGAAGATATGATCATTATTGTTAGATAGTTATATAATTTTTTTTCTCATTTTCGTCATCCTCACTGCTTAATTACTCTTATCTATGTATTTTTCCTCTTCTTCTTCATTCTCATCTATATATTCTATTGTATGTTTGTCACCTTACATAATATCATTTCCCCTTTTAGAGCTGAAAACACCTATAGTTTTATTTCTCATTGATGTATTGATATTTGTATCATAGTGTGAAAAGCAGACCCGTTAGCTCCAGTAATATCAACAACTCCCATAGTAAAATTACCATTATCAAAGATCAACCCTCATTTGCAATTATCAACTTCTTTAATTAACCACTCATTTAAATCATCAATATCGTTTAAAACAAGAGGACCAATCACATCATTGATACCAAAAAGATCTAACAAATTTTGGTTATACTTATACAAACCAAATCTTGCAACTTTTGACTTTCTAATTTGTTTATTTTCTTGGAATGGATCTAAATATTTGGTTAAGATTTAAGATAAATGTTAGTTTTTTTTTCGTCTATATTATAACAAAAAAGGTATATTTTATAGGTTAAAGTTAAATTTCAATTATTTACGTGTTAAAAGATAACCCAATGAGCTACAATAACGGTATAGCATAACGGAGTGCCGCTACAAGCCGCTACTCCGCTATTGAGTAAACGCGAAATTGCGGAGCGGCCGTAGTGGCAGAGTGCCTCTCCACTATGCTACGCCGCTATAGCGCACTATTGATAATTATGATCTTTTGTGGACTTGATTGTCATTGTTGCATATGTACATTTTTCATGACAGAAAATTTAACAGAATTCGGAGCTATGACAATAACGCCAAGGCAGAATAAGAAGGTATGAATACACATTATGCAAACAGAAGGGCTACCTTGTCCGTCAGTCGTAAGCATCTTCTGCATTATTGGTAACAAAGTTGGCTCGATGTGAATAAAGAGATGAGGAAGCCTACTGACTGACTCCAGAATCGTGCTTGTAGCACGCAGACAACCAACAGCTGCCAAAGCACCTGGATCATCACCGTCCTCATCTGCTTCAGCAGAACTCAAGCACTTCCAAAATGCATTAGCCTGAAAAGAAAAGCATTTAATTCAACAGACACCAAATCCATCAACTTAAAATAAATATACCAAGGGTTGGTTTGGATATATTTTGGAAGTGTTTTGGTGTTTTAAATTGTTTTGGAAATAGTAATACTCTGAATGAAAAATAAGAAATGGATGCCGAGTAAATAGCCATTGGATGTGACTTTTTTTAATAGAAAATTTTTTATGAAATATTTTATATTAAATTAGGTGTCGGATGCAATGCTCTTTAGAGGAAATTTGTTTGAATATGTAGTGTGGAAAAGAAAAGTTGAAAACATAAGTAACCATAGCATAAATTTTAAAGCAAAGCTAATCTCACCAAATTTTGGCATAATCCAAGAGCATAAGGAGCCATCTCTTCACCAAACTTGTCCACGATTGTTTCAAGGGTGAATACTAGATCTTCATTCTCAACCTCATTCATTAGTTTGAAGAACTCTGAAAATATAAATGCAAACGACGAAGTTCATTGAATGTTATTGTGCAATGAAAAGCATGACTTAAATAAATCTCAAATGTTATACCGTCAAGTAACTGAGGAAGAATAGGCCGAATTTCACCCAAATCTGTACATAAAAATGCTCATCAAAGATCACTTTAGATATTAAAAGTGGTACCACATACATAACTAAAGACTCTTTGAAAGAGGAACACTGCACCATTGCAAGCTTCCACAAAAGATCGCAATGCAAAGACAGAATCTACACGAACTGGAAGATCCAGGTCGCGCATCCCAGCAACAACGCTGTGTAATGCTCTTCGGAAATTATTTGGATCTGAAAAATTAATGTGTGCATATTGCCCAGCAACCCATGCTGCCTGTAAACCAATAAACAAATTTCAAATTAAAAATCAATCACCACTACCAAATGAAGGTTTAAAAAATTGAGGCTTTATAACTCAGAGAATCTTAACGTGGACTATAATTTAGTTATCATCTAACTTATGTGTGCACGCATTCATGTATCCATGTTCAAAGAAAGACAGCAGATATAAACAGACCTAAGCACTTACATAGGTTCCATAGTATACATAAAGGATATGGCGACATCAAAACAAATCAAAACACCGTACCTTAGCTCTGAGATGTCCCACAGGACTGTTGAACTCCGGGAACACATGCTGTACAAGCATAAGCTCAAGTTGAGATTTGTAAGGTTCGGTTTGCTTAAGTTTATCACACAATGCTCCAATGGCAAGAAGGGCACCATCTTTCTGCCTGTAAGGCTTGTATTCCGGAGCAGCCTCATCATATCTAGTTTATGAATAATTAGTCACTTACAACATGTTTCACAAATGAAATTACTTAGTCAAGACAAAAAATGTAAAAGCACTCACACACCTCTTGAAAACATTTACAATAAATAGCAAGAACTTTTGAAGGTTCTCCTTTCCACGTTTCCTAACCAACTCACTCACAAAATCCAATGCAGCGGTTCTAGGACTGTATAGATCCTCAATTATGTCTGCAAAGATAAATTACATAATAACATATATAATTTAATTCCGGAAGTCATAGATCACATAAATAAAATAATAAATAAATAAACACAAATGTGAAACGCACCATATCCCTTCCTCACATATTCGTATGGATCTTCCTCCCAGAGCCTTTGGTCATTGTCATTGAAGCACATAAGCGGAAAGATGATCTCAAAGAGAACAATATCAAGCTTTGGTTGTAATTGACTAAACATGTTTTTCTTTGAGATACTGCATGATGAACAAGTGCATGTATGTTATTAGAAAAATAAACTCTTACGGTTACTAAAAAGTGATTGCAAGGAACTTGAAAAAATATAAATTGATAACTGTCGAGAGAAATGATAAATATATATAATAGATCTCCCCAGTAGTTAAATGGTTTGCATGAAGTGGTTACTAAATGATATCAGAATGGAAAGTTGTGTTCAATATCAAAGGATACAACTCACATTTTACATGTATATAATATGTACATGTTTTCTTCATATACTCCTCAATATATATATATATATATTTATATTGGATATGCTTTATTTTGTAGTCTCTATTTAATGAAACCTACTCCATACCTTAAAGTGGATTTGAAAGGCCGGCCTTCAATAAATACTATTATTAAAGAGGAAACTAAGGCAAGAGCTTTTACAGCCTAAAGGGTTTGGTTGGCATTTGTTTGGGCTTTTGTTGCCATTTCCACACTATGCTATCTACAATAAAATCTTATTTTTGTCCTTAAAAATCATAACATCCAAAAACCTATTTGCTATTAAAAAAGAATTCAAATCCCAAAACACCATTTGAATTTGAATTTTGTTGTTGCATCGTAAAATGACAAAATGTCTAGTTACAAGCTACAACTGGTTTGGTAAGTCTAATCTATCTACTTTAAATATAGTGTATAGATTCCCGGTGATCGATTGCGAGACTAAACAGGTATTCTCTTTGACTGTAACTTGACGAGATTAATGTTAAAAGAGGGGTGACAAAATTGGCCTCCAAGATTTATAATTAAACACTCCAAATGAGAACTGCATGAAAATTGTAATATAGAGTTTTAGTTAGTACCACACCTATTGCTCAGGTATTGCAAAATAAGATTGATGACTCTGTCTGGCAAATATTCCCCAACACGTACGGCATTCAGCAAATTTAAATGACATTCCAAAATCTTCCCTGCATAATTTCTCTGGAACATTTGAGCAAAAGCTTTGTTTTCTTGGTTTCGAAGTTTCACATCCCCAAACCTGGAATAGGTTGATTGAAATCCAGATGGATTACTAGACTAGCCAGCATATAAAAGAAAATGCATAAAAGAAACAAGCCACTACCTAGTGTAAAGGCGATTTAATATGTGGACTGTCCACTTCTTTACTTTCCACCATCCCCATGATTTTCTCAGCTCAGGATCAACAGGCTGTCCTTCAACAGGAACGGGCCTCTCCAACAAATTTAAAAAACGAACCATCCAGGCATTGAATAAAACTGGATCAAACAACTGCCTTGGAATTTCCAACTGGTTGTGAATGAAACACACAAATTAGCTCTAACTTAAATATATTTATTTTAACAAAAAGAAAAAGGAAACACACACAGCTTGCAACGCAATATTTGATGTCATAATAGAAAAGTCTGTTTATTATTCATTCAGTTGAACATGCTTAGGTTTTACAGAAAAGCAAATTTTAATAAAATAGAATTAGTGGAAGCAAACGAGACAACAAATATTAGATTTTTCTTAAAAAAAATGACCTATCCGAAAGTCCAATAAACTGAAGATGCACACAATGAAAAACTACAGACCAATAAGTATAAACTTACATAGATGCATGACCAAAATATTTTGCAAATCAACTTGATCAAATCAGCTACTTCAACCGAAGGGTTAGCAACTTGAGCAAGCTGGTCAAAAATGTTAATCAGATGAGGAAATGTCTCTTCAACAATGTGATGAACAGGTATCCTCTCCTCATCTGACTTGAATCTGCAAGTTGAAAACAATCAGGGAAAAAGAGGTTACATTACAGAAATTTCATCATTTTTGGCAATCAACAAGGCATTGATAATATGAACAGAAGATTTAGCGAACATCTGCATCTGCATCTACACTTCCTCCAGTAGTATAATGTATTTATTGCTGTCTTACAAACAATTATTTCAAAGTTGAAGATACTAATCCCACATAAGTAATTATAATAGTGTAATTAAATTCTAAATGCTTTGGAAAATTGTGTTTTTAATGTGAAGCTATCTTTGTGATTGATAAGCATAGACAAGGACAGAGCAAAAAGGCCCTTATTTAGACGCATCATAAGAAAATCCTTAGTCGTTTATATAAATGGTATTAAATTATGGATATTAAATTCATGTCAAAAACTGCATTGACTTTAAATACAATTCTGTATAAACAATCTATCCCCTAGGGAGATCATCAGATTTTGGAAGGCTTCCATCATCAATAATAAAAATGCAGCAAAATCACAACTCGTTGACTATATAAACTCTTTTGCAGTGATTATCACAAGTCTAGTTTAAGCAACTTGAAAACTAAGTCCGACAGAATTTCCTTAAAAGTAATTTAATCAAATGCATTCTGCTGTGATGTCAACAAAAGATACTACAACGTCATTTCAAAACCTGAAGAGCACTATGTGTAGGCCACTCTAATATTGGTGATCAGTTATTCTGATGAAGCGATTAAAACATTAACTCACTCGTATTTTCTTGAAAGAATCCTGAGCACAAATAAAGCTCCATAAACTTCTTGTTGTTGACCCTGCAGATTATGCTTTATCCATTGCAAAAGAGCTGGCCATTGCTCAGGATAATCCGCATGCGTAATCGTCTTCAAGCATTCACCAAGTTGTGACCTATTCAAATCAGATAACAGAACAATTATTCCAACAAATAACTCAATTAAGCCAACTACATACCAATTGATCCAATACATTGTAACATCAAATTTTCAAAATGGAACAGATCAAGAGCATGAATTTGGTTAAACCTCTACGTGCATTGCATCTATTTTTCGAATGGAAATTATCACAAAGTAAATAACAGATGAAAACAGTCTTCAATACCTTATAGGTGGGGGAACTTGGGTAATGAAAATAAGAATCTGTTCTCTCACCATTTCCTTGTCAACAGGTGAGATCTTCGACTGCTCATCTACAACCAGGTAGTTCTCACTTTCGTCAGCAGCAAATTCATAAATACAACAAATTGAATTTATCTAGTACAAACAAAGTCCACGAAAATACCATACAATTCCTTTCAACAGTGAGACCTAAACTAGCTGCCCCAAATTCAATAAATGCAATGCCACTACGATTGGGCAACCTTAATCTAAATACAAGAACTATGACCTGCCATGACTCGAGACAATAAAAATACAAACTTAGTTATTATTACTTGCAGCCTTGAAGGGCTAAAAAAAATCTAGAAAAGTAATACAACGAACCAAGACTAAACATCAAAAATCAATTCAATTTCGAAAAACAATTACAGACAACCCCAATCATCGACAACCAAAAAATCCTATGCTCACCCATGAATGTACAAAACCTACCAGGATCATGAGGGGCCCAATTTTTTGCAATGAAGTTTTTGAAAGAAATACTGGCCACTTGTCTGACCGCCATATCGAGATTCTTCTGCACTATGATCTGCAACAACCTCACCAAATGCCCTGGAGCATGCTCAATCTGCAGAAACACAAACCAATCATCCCCAAATCCTATAAACTGACCACATCAATCTCAAGTACCAAATCATCAGCCAATACAATTACACAACACGATGCCTCTTATTTTAGTTACGACATTAATTTTACCAAAAACAAAAACAAAAACAAAAACAAAATACCAACAATTGCACAAAGAACAAAGCTTGCGCATCACTAACAGATCAAAAATCACCCTCGACCATGGGATACCTGATTGAGGCTCCTCTCTGCTGCTTCCCTCTCAGCAGTATTGGGGCTTAACGCACCCTGCAAGATCAACGCCAGGCTCTCAACATCCATGCTTCAAAGTTCAATTCCTTTCTCCAATAAAAGGGCGATTAACCGCGAAATCTGGAGCCCAGAAAGGAAGATTCCTTGGTTGGTCTTCCTTGAAGCGGCTGGAGAGAGGAAAGGAGGAAGGAGATGACTCAAGTCCGAGGGCAGACAGCGAAACCTGTGAGTTCGTGTGTTGGAAACTATATAAATGATTAGGGTTTTAGCCCTGCTCTGCTCTGCTCTGCTGGTGTGTTGCAGTATTTGTTAAACAAACATTGTTACCATATTACTATTAATCAATTAATTAATTAATTAATTGATAATTATTGCCTTCTTTGCATATTTAGAGGATGTTTAGGTAAGTTTGGGTGTTCATGCTTTAGGCCTTAGGGTTTGTTTGGATGACATTCCAATTAAAGGTGATACTATGTTTTCAACTTATTCTTTTTTTATATTTGTATGTACTCCTTCAGTCCAAAAAGATTTGTCTTGTTTTTTCATTTTCGTCCGTTTCAAAATAATTATCTTGTTTTCTTAGTAGTCGTGGTTCTCACTTTATAACAAAATTATTTCTACTTTTCCATATTATCCCTATTTATTACTCTAACATACTCTTTAAAATCCTTCAAAAAGTAAGGCATTTTAGTCATTTACATTCTACTTTATACCTATTGTTCAGGGGTTTTGATTTTGAGTTCGGGATTTGAATACTAAAAATTTTAAATTTAAATAGTTGTACGATGTGATATAAATACAATGTTTTGAATGTAAAATTGATTTTTAGTATAATATAAAATTTAAAATTGATATAAATACATGTTCGATTTGATGTTTTTGAAAAAAAAAAATTGATAAATAGTAAAAATCTTGGATAATCCTTCAAACAAACACACCCTATAGATAAAATTTTATTTTAATCTTTGATTTTATTTGCTCACTATTTCTTTTTCTAAAACAATTTCCAATATATATTTTATTTTTTTACAAAAATTAATATTAAAAAACAATTTCCAATATATACTTTATTTTATTACAAAAATTAATATTCAATATATAAGTAGTATTATTTTTAATATTATCGATACAATTCGTATATCTTACTTCCAAAAAAATAAAAATAAAAATAATAAACAAACAAACCCGTATTATATATTTTATTAAATTATTATTATTGAAATAATTAATGATATATTTAATTTTTAACTTATTTTTTATATTTATATATATAATTATTTATATTAATCATAAATAGATTTTTATAATTTTTATTTATTTATATTTAAGTATAAAATTTTATTTTAATCTTCATATTATTTTATTAAAATATTATTATTATAATATTAATTGTATTTTCTATTCCATTTTTAACTCTGAAATTCAAATTGCACCTTGAGATTTTTTTAATTAGGTATAAATAAGTATATAATTAATATAAAAAATATTTTTAATATATATATTTAACAACGGGTATTAACTATTATAATTTGGATATTTTATTTTATTTTTTTAAATTTAATGTGAATAATTAATTAAAATTTATTAAAATAACAAATAATTCAATAAAATTAAAATTTATTCGGATAATAAACAACAAAAATATAGATAAATTTGAAGTTTCATTATCTATATATTTTCTTAATTTTTAATTCTTTAAATTATTCTATTTTAAAATTTTGTATATTATTTTTAACATTTGTATTAACTTTATTTATAGTAATATATTTTTTTTATTCTTTTGATAAAAAGAAAATAATTACAAAAGAATACTCGGATTAGAAGAAGAATATGGAAGAATATGTGTTTCGTTAAGCGTTTGATGAAGTTGAAATTTTTAAGGAGTGTTCATGATTCGTTGTTTTTTTTTTTAATCCAATAAGAAAATTTGCGATCGAATATTTGTAGTTCGATCAGAATTTTACATAACATAACAATTTTTTATTTTTTTTTATCTTAATTTTTCTTAAGTTTGTTACTTTTGTTAGTTGATATAGCGGTGATTGAGATGTGTTTACAAGCATTCCTATTTTATTATAGTAGATATTTTTCTTTATTTTGACTGACCCATAATTTTTTCTTTTTAAGAAAATAGTTTTCTATATTAAGATTTATAGTATTATTTTAATATTTATTTGTAAATATAATTAGTATTATTCTTTATATTATTTCAAATGATTACATTTTTCCATTAATATATAATGAAATTCTTATAATAAAATTTTTTATTTAATTTTTAATAATTTAAATTTGATTATGTATAAATTAATTGTCGTATTATATTAATTCTATTATTTTATTATTATATTTTTTTTTGTCTCTAGTAATTCTAACATTCATATTGTGATACAGGAAATTATAATAATAAAAAAATTGTAAAAAGCAAGAAAAAAATAATATACAATGTATATATTTTTCAAATTATTTATTGTGTTTTGTTTTATTAATTATTTTTTTCATTCTTATCGTTGTATATGCATATTTCAAAATAATAAGTTTGAACGCATAAACTTTTTTTAATGTAGTAGTTTCATTATTATTATTTATATATTTTTTAATTATCTATTTTGTTATTTTTATATTTTATAAAAAAAATTATTATATGTTATTTTTTATAAAAAATATTAAATTAAGATAAAAATAATTTGTGCATATATATTTGAAGGTTGTATGATCCAACTTGGTCGCAATCCTAATTTTTTGAATTTATATTAATTTAAATTTTAATTGATTGATATAGATTTATATTTAAAATTTATTTGTTATTTAATCTTATTAGTATTGTATAATATAAAAATAATTATGAAAGGATATTTGTAATTATATATAGATAGTACAATTACTTAAAAAAAAATAGATACTTTTTATGAAACAAATCAAAATAAACAAATGAATTGTTAAAGGAGTAAGAGATTATTATATAATTGATTACCCTTACTCTTATGTTTTTTCACCAATATATAATAAAATTCTTTGTTAATTTTTAAAAAATTTAAATTTGATTAAAAGAAAATTAACTACTATTTTCCTATTATATCAATTCTCTTAGGGGCTGTTTGGTTCATGAATTTTTTTGGTGGGATTGAGATTTTACAGTATGATTTATATGTGATGGGATTTATTATATTTAGGATTTGAAATCTCATGTTATGTTTGGTTGGTAAAATGTGGTGGAACTATATTTCGTGGATTTGAATTTTTTATATTCTAAATGACATAATTGTCCTCTTATGAATTTTATTTATTTTGACAAATTAAACCTCTAATTCATTATTAATATAAATTGAAAAGATATCAATAATTTCATTGGATGACAATAGATTCGCGTAAACTCGAGACCCGACCGAGCCCGACCTATTTATTTGAAGTTAGTCCAATTATTTGAGTATTAGGCCTGGATCTGGATCATGATCATTATCATTATCAGGGTAGTATAATAATAATATATCAACCATACATATCAAAAAATAATTCCGAACAATATAATTATATTAAAAATATTTTTTTAATTTAACGTATTCATTGTTTTATTATAATATTTTTCTAATAAAATATATAAATTTCAATATACATTGGATCCGATACATGTGTAATTTTAAATTAAAATTTAAGAATTGTAAAAAAAATGGATTTTTCGGATCCATCAAGTCTTACGGGATATAGTCTCGGTCGGATCTAGTATAATCGGATCCAATTTGAATCTCGAATTTAACAATATATATTTGGGATGAATATCAGTTCCTACTGACCCGACTTATGGTCGTCCCTATAATTTTATAATTCAAATAAAATTTATAATAAATAATAATTTAAACAATGAATTTATTAATTTTTTAAAAAATATATTGTACAATAAAAAATAATATAAATTTAGTTAAGTATATAATTCAAATAATAATTAATGTTAAAATTATTTAATTTTTTAGACCCTTTTCTCAACCCATCATTTTAAATTTCACCTTCTTTTTATTAATCAAACATGGATTTTTCATAGAATTTTAAAATCCAAATCTCATGGAATCTCATCAAATCCTTGAACCAAATACCCCTTATTATTATTGTTATATTTTATTTTTTTTACCAATTGATGGTCTTATTTTTATTTTTATGTATTTTTAATTAACATAGTTTGAAGTATTATATTATAATATGTTTTTTTTTTAATTTGTAAATTATGTTAAAATTTCAAATATTTTGATTTGAAAGATGGTTAAAAAAGTTATAAAAAAAATAATGATAAATTTTAATATAAAATTATTTTAATTTTAATTTTAAAAAATTAAAATATTTTAATTTTAAAACAAAAATAATCTTATTATGAATATATTTTTAAATTTATTTGATTTTGAATATTATATTCTAATATTTTTTAAATTTTTTAGGTTATGTCTAAATTTTAAATATTTTGATATGGAAAAATACTGTGAATCCATATGTGTGTTTGTTTAAGGGTTTAGATTTTGAATTGAGATTTTAATAGTAAAAATTTTAAATTTAAACAGTTGTATGGTGTGATAAATAGGTGTTGATGCGATATTTTGAATATAAAATTGATTTTCAGTATAATATAAAAAATAAAAAAATAGGTGTTTGATTAGATATTTTATAGCAAATTTTATATATAATTTATTTTTATTAAATTACTTTTATTCTTTTAATATATGTTTTTTTTTATCATTATAAGTGTTCTTTTTATTTCTATTGATATTTTTTTTTTCATTTTATTATATATACTATTTTTTTAATTGATTTGATTTTGAATATTATATTCTAATATATTTTTAAATTTTGTATATTGTATTCAAATTTTGAGTCTTTTAATTTGCAAAAATTCATATAGAAAATTATAGTAAATTTTAATATATAAAAATTTTATTTTTATTTTTATTCTATATGTGTTTTTCTTTATATATATTGTGTTCTTTTTTATTTTTTAATGTTTGATTTTTTAACTTTGTGTATGTTTTTTTTTTTCTAATTGATTTAGTTTCGAATATTATATTTTAATATATATTTTTTAATATTGTAGATTGTGTTAAAGTTTTGAGTATTTGCATTTGTAGGAATATTTGGATAATTCATATAAAAAGTTAAGGTACATTTTATTATATGAAAAATTTGTTTTTATTTTATTATTGTCATTCTTAAAATTTCAATATTTAATATAAGCATAATTTTTATCTAATTTTTATTATTTATATATTTTATTTGTTGCGTGTTTAATATTTTATATTTTTAAATTAAATTATTTTTTTTATACTCTCTTTTGTTCACTTAATAAATTGACATTTACTTTTTGTCGTTAATATTTAAATATGAATTATTATATTAAAATATAGTATAATTAAGAGAAAATGACAAAAATATTTTTATAGCATCTTATAATACAAATAATAATATTTGTATAATAAAAAAAAATATAAGAATATTTTTAATGTTAATATAACAAAGCAAATATAAATATCAATTTAATAAGTGGACTGATGGAGTATTTTTTATTTACAAAGAATCTACATATTAAAAATACAATATTAAATAAATTAAAATTTAATATGATAAATACAATGGCTCTAATTTTCTAACATTATTTTTGAATTACGATTCATAAAAAATAATAATAAAAAATACTATAAAATATTTTATACAAAAATAAAAAAGTAAAAAAAAAAAATCAAATTTTCATTACAAAAAGTAAAAAAATCAAATATTAAATTTAAAATAATATATTTTATATTTTTATACAATTCTACTTGCCACACATAAAAGTCATTTAATCTACAAATATTGGGTGAACGAATCCTTATTAAAATGATTTTTTAATTTATTTTGTTGTGCATAGCATAGGTGTATTATGCTAGAAACCAAAGATAATTAAAATAAAAAATAAAAATTATGATAATTAAAAATTTAAATTTAAATATAATAAATTTTGTTTAATTTTGATATATAGTTAATTTATTATGTTATGTATTTTTGCCATATATCGTAATACGTATGTACATTGAATATTGCTATAAATCAGTATTGTAATATATAGTGAACTTCAGTATAATAACGATAAATTACGGTATGCAAAATTGTATACTATTTGACGAGGACTCTAATTTTTAAGGATTCAAATGTCTGTGGACCCATCATTCGAAGCCGAACTCATCAGTTTTAAGAATCTATCATTGCGTTGATTCAACGATTTTTCATGAAGAATCAATTTAAGAATGATGTTTGAAGACCATTTAGTCCTTACCTGACACTCTTTCAATGGGATCGGCAAGAATCGGAATTCAAAGATAGAGAGAATCACTAGTTTTAGAAGATTGTCATGAGAATTATAAATTATGAAAGATTATCAAGAAAATAATCACTTATGGAAGCTTATAGAAGTTACCTTAATATATATATTCTTATTATAAGTTTTCATATAGCGGAGTTGGAAGTGAGACTCTCGTTAGAGTTGAAAACAACGAGACTCGCAACGGATTTAAACAATGGAATTATCACCGGAGTCAGAATAAACGGAACTCTCACTGGAGTAAAATAAAAACAATGGGCTCTCACTGGAGTCGGAAAACAACGAGACTCTCAATGCAATTGGAAACAACACTTTATATTGAACCATGACAAACAATCAAAGGTTGAACTCGGACGCAAAATTGAAAAATAAAATTGGCAGACGACCAATTGCAGATGGATCTGAAAATCGAAATTCTTCCATTGCGCCATAAAAATCTCAAAATTTGGAACCTCCAGGTATATTTTCGATTTAATGTATCCGAAGAAATGCGGATTAGTATATTATATATATTCCAAGAGAAAAGTAAGCTCTGATACCATGTGTAATTTGTGAATGACTAAAAAATTATAATCTAATGAATAAAACCAAACTAAAATAATCAAATCTAAATCTAAACCTAAATAACTAAATTATCTCAACACCCCCTCAAACTCAAGTGGTATTGTAGAAACAACTGTAGTTTGCAAAGAAAGATCAAAGATAACGCAACCACAATCGTCTACTATTTCAAAATAAATAGCAATACTCTCAACTAAATTAGATTCGAAAATAACGGAATTCTCATTGGAGTCGGAAACAATAGAACTCTCACGTGCAAGGAGGAAATACGTCACTCCACGAAACTTGCACGTGGATAACAATGAGTCACGGAACTCTTATGTGCAAGGAGAAAATGCATCACTCTCCAAAATTTGCACGTGGATAACGACGAGACTCTTAATGCAGTCGAACATATAGCTTTGGAAAAACGCGGCAGATGGATCATAGATAAGACTCTAAAATTCAAACACAGAATAAAATAAAGACTCTACGGAAAGACTAATAATTGGAGATAAAATCTCAAAATTCGAAAATCTCCGGGATACATTTTGGGTTGAATGTACCCGAAGAAACATAGGTTAATATATTGTATCTATTGAATAAGAAAAATAGGCTCTGATACCATGTAAGAAATAAATTATAAACGACTCAAAAATTGTATTATTATTCACCATCAACATACAAGACCTACATATTGACTCGATAGACTCAAATCTAACAATATAATATATGAATAAGACCAAATCTAAATTTAAACATACCAAATATAAAATTAATAATCTAAAATATCTCAACAATATATTTAAATAAATTAAAAAAAAACTAATATATGTAATGACCAATCAAATACAATAATCAATAGAAAATGAGAAATAAATTCAAAAATTCTCAAAATTCTCGTTTTATATTTAGTTGGCCAAGATGAAAACTTATAATAATAATAAAAAATACATGTTAAATTAACTTTTAGAAATTTTCATAGTGATTCTTTTCATAATAATTATTGAGTTTCTTGATAATATTTCATAATTAGAGAATTTTTTAATAATCTTCTAAAATTAACGATTCTCTTGATCTTTCAAATTTGATTATTTCGGATCCCATTGAAGTAGTGTTAGGTGAGGACTGGTCTCCAAACATTATCCTTAAATTGATTCTCCATGAAAAGTTGTTGGATCAATGCAGTGACGATTTATTAAAACTGACAAGCTTGACTTTTAGTGATGAATCCCATGAGCATTTAAATCCTTGACGATTGGACGTATGCGCCAACCATTCTTATACATGTTCCAATTATACTACTAAAATGATAAGGAGATCAGTTATGAGATTAAAAAAAAAATAGTTTTTCTTATAAAAAATACTCCATTATTTAATTGTGCGTTCAAATATTTGGACATAAGTTTTAATAAAAATAGATAAAAATGTTGATTTTAATTTTCTATAGTAAAAAAAAATACAAAAATATAGTATATTTTTTTTACAAAAAAAAGGAAAAACTAGAATATTCTTTTTATAACAATACAAAGAAATATTCCCTCCATCCCATAAGTAAATATCCATTTACTTTTTGTACGTTGTTTTAGAAATATTAGTATTATATTGGGATATAGTAGGAACAAAGTAAAAATGACTAAAATAACTTTATTAGTATGTGTGATATAAAGGTAATGACATTTGTGTAATATATTGTAAGTTGTAAGAGTATTTGTAATGTTAGATTGATAGTACAGTTACTAAAAAAGGAAATGAATACTTTGTTATGAGATGGACTAAAATGGAAAAATAGATACTTTATTATAGGACGGAGGGAGTATAAGTATATATTTGAATAACATATGAAGTATAATATGCATATATAAATCTGTCAAAACGGGTTAATGGGGCGGTTTGGCTCACAACCCATACAACCCGCAAATAAGCGGGTTGTTTGCGAGCCAATCCGCGACGTGGCGGACTAAAAGTTCATCAGCCTAACCCAACTCCCCGGCGGATAATGAGTTAAGCGGGCTAGTCCATAGACTTTTTAAAAATATTAAAAAATTTATTAATATTATAAATATTTTTTAATTAATATTTAAAAATAATTTAAAATAATTTCATAGTAGAGTTTAATAATAAATATTTTAAAATAAATAAAAAATATAAAAAAATTCAATTCTAAATATTATTAATCAGTTTGTTTACAAAACTTAATAATAAGAAATATTTTAAATAAATTATAATTAATTTTATAAATATGTGAATAGATTTTAGAATAAAAAAAATTATAAAACAATAAAATAGAAGACGAACAAAATAAATGATGACAAATCGAAACAAACGAGAGTGACATTGATAAGAGGGTTAGAAAAGAAAAACAACGTATATACAATATTGATTAATTTATTTAAACTAATGATAATATAAATTATATTTTATTCGCTTAACTAAAAATATCTGTTTTCAGTAGATTAAAAAATAATAATATATTATTTATTAAATAAGGTGTATAAGATTGATTTTGATAGTTTTTACTAGTTGTAATATTAATATTTGATTAATTTGATTATAATTTTTAATATGACAATACAAAATAATAAAAAAATATATATTTAGTTGAGACGAGCTAATACTAATTATTATAGGCTAACCCGCCCTACTGCAGGCTAACTTATTCCCAGCCCACGGTCCACGTGGGTTGACCTGTTTAGACCCGAGCTTAAAAAATCACAATTCAACATTTCTTGAGAGTGAGGTGAAGCGAGCTAAATCGTTGAACTCAACCTATTTTGACCGCTCTACATGTATATTTTTATTTAAAATCACTTTTCCTCTTCCTAGTATTTAATATAAATAATATTTAAAACTAAAAAATACTAAACAAATACACTCATAATTTTTTATCTTTTACATTTATAAATAAATTTTTTAATATTATTTAAAAAAAATAAAAAAGAAAGACAAATTTGTCAAAAAAAATTATATTTGTAAGTTAAAGTTTTGGAAAAAAAAAAGAAAACTTAACTTCAAGTATTATTGTCTCATACTTTCAAACTAATTGAAAGTTTTAATAAAAAATATCGCAATTTAATATATCAAGATAAAAAAATTATAAATCAAATGATCAAATGAAAAGCAAATATACAAGTACACACCCAAAAGTTTGGGTCAAAAAATATATTATTTGTTATTATGGGGTAAAAGTGATAAATGAAATAAATTAGGAGTCAATGTGAAATTCTCTTTATTTATCAATAGGGCAAGGACTAGGGTTTCGTTGGATTGCATTCGGAGGAGCTCTCTGATTCAGCCTTTTTCTGAACTCTGAACGCCGAGTTGATCCCTCACTCTATCGTCCATGGCAAACCGTGCGTGCTTTCTTCCATTTAATCTCTTTTTTTGATCGTATTGTGGTTAAATTGCTGACGGATTTTGTCTTGGCGTGTTTAAATGCAGCCGCTGCACGGTCGTTTTTGCAAGTAGCAACAACGGAAGAGGCGGTACAGCCCCTCAGAGTCGTTCAGATTGAAGGACTGGTATGATTTTACTGCGCAGAAAGCTTAATTGGATTGGGTGAATATGATCTTATTGTCACAGATTGCTCTTCGATTGGTTTGGTGTATCCGGTTATGATATATATTTAAATACCCTACTTTTCATACTGGCGTGGGGAATGCTTGTGGTTCCTGTGTGTTGTGGGGAAAAAGGAAAATAGTAGTCTCAGTGCATCAATTATGTATATTTATATGTGTTTGTGCGCGCGCGCGCGTATGTGTTAGTACTGGTGATTTGCAGAATATAGATTTCATATTCTCCAGAAATTCTAAGAGTTTGTTTACTTTTGAAATTCTGTTATTATAAATTTCATACCAAGGTATATCTGTGCCATGTCTAATGTAATTGTATGGATTGTTGCATTTGTGAATGCCTATCAGTCTTCATTCTTCTTGAGCTAGAATGTCGTGTATGCGTTTGGTATGTAATCAATTTTATAATGCATCCTTAAAGTTGCTCTGTAAATCTTCATATAGGTTATTCTGAAGATAATAAAGCACTGCAAGGAGTTTTCGCCAGCTCTGGTTACTGGGCAGCTTCTTGGGTTAGATGTTGGCAGTGTTCTTGAAGTTACAAATTGTTTCCCATTTCCGGTGTGAAGATTTCTCCTGCTATTGTTATGTAGTGACCCATTTTTTTTGTTTTGAACATTAATAGATTAAAAATATATTATTGCAGATTCGTGAGGAAGACGAGGAGATTGAAGCAGAAGGCGCTAATTATCAGCTTGAAATGATGAGATGCCTGAGAGAGGTTAATGTTGACAACAACACTGTTGGATGGTAAGTACAGACTTTCATTGATGGTTAAGCTTTCATGGGACCTTACATCATGTGTCGTGCTGTGCGGTATTACTGAACCAGAATTCTAGAAAATATGAACTCTCTTGCCAGAGGGTGACGATAACACTTTTGTGTCTGAATATGAGTTCGCGATGAGCTTATATTTAATTGTTTGCTCAAATACAATGGTATAAAACAGAAATTAGTTGTATTCATCTTTATGAATGTTGCCAAACTTAAGGTGCACACACTCTCTTATATATATATATATATTTCTTTAAGTTCTGCACTGCTTTCTCGTGTGACTTGATTCATGTGGTTCTATTAGGGTGTGTTTGTTTGGGGATTCTTCCTAAATTTTACTATTCATCAAATTTTTTTCAGTTCAAATTTATATCCCAATTTTTTTACTATTCTAGTTCAAATTTTTTACTATGTAAATCCCAAATCAAAATCCAATCCCCCAAACAAACACACCCTTAGATTAATACAAGTATTAAAGGTGACTATAGTATTAAGGGAATAGCAGATCAAAAGTAATTATTAACATTGATATACAATATTTTTAAACTTATGGGGTGGGAGATTGAGTTAATACGCAGTTTTCACTTTTAAGGAAATCTGCAAATATCTGAATTCATTTCAAACTGGCGTGCTTTGTTTATGTTGTTATTTTTCCTCACGTGGGTGAAAGTAGAAGCCTTGCAAATAGCCTTTGACCAGGACTATGTTTTGATCATTGTATCTATGATCATGCTCCAAGTATTCTTTAATCAATCATGAAATTTGTAAGCTTGGTAATTAACCTGAAGATTGTGTTTGTGCATGAAAAAATGATTGGATGTCCGAGTTTGGATTTGTTTACAGATAACATGATCTACAACGTAGAGTTGTTTGCATTCTATCCCACTTGTCTAGGATGGCATGCAAAGGTTCTGCCAAAGTTACTGAATGAGTTAGGAATTGGTTTGATGTTGAATTATGCTCTTCATTTGGCTTACTAAAGTATGCTTTTTAACTATGCTGAACACAGATTTTAACTCTGTTGCTCCAGCCCTGTTATTATTTCATCCTTCAATGCTAATTATTATTACTTCATCCTCCAACTTTAATCATTATTACTTTGTCCTTCAACCTTAATTATGCTTCATCCTTTAACCCTAATCATTATTACTTTGTCCTAAAACCCTAATTATGATTTCTTGAGGCAAGGCATTATTGTTATAACAAAGTTGTGGTGCAATCAACTCCTAGTTAAGTCTTTTGGTATTTAGTTAAAAAAAACCTTCTGTGGACTATGAATTATAGTGCTTTTGCTGTTTTTAATATAATTCTTCTTAGATGAGCTTTACTTGAGCTTCATTTGAAATATTTTTTGAAGCTTTTGATTGGAAAAGCTTATAGTTGAGCTTCATTTGAAATATGTTTTGAAGCTTTTGATCGGAAAGGCTTATAGTTGCATATAGTGTCCTTTGGGTTAGCATGTTGATTGTTTAGTCAATGTTTATAGGATGTTTCTCCTTGTTTTAGGTTTTTTCAAAACAGAAGCTTATGACTCTTATATAATTGTGCTCCCAGGTATCAATCCACTTTGTTTGGGTCATTTCAAACGGTGGAACTGATCGAGACTTTTATGAATTACCAGGTACATATCTGATGTATTTTTGCACTTTCCAGTTGTACTATTAGTTTGACTATTGGAAGGTATAACTTCTGAGTTGGTACTGCCCATTTTCCCTTTACAAACATTGTCCTTTCTTCTACCGTTTTTGTATGTTCTTACAGAATTTATTATAGTTGGTTAATTTTCTATGTTGCTGTAAGAGTTTCACGAATGTGTTTGGTTTATTGACCGATGCACACACCTGTTGCTTATGGACTTCCTTTTGCATCTTGTCATCATCTCGAATGAAGAATCTAATCCTTTTTATACAACCGTTGCTTTGGGTTGTTTGTCTTCCTTTTAAAATTGGCACATCAGCTTTAACCACCTAGACTAGTGCCGACAATAGGTCGATGTATGTCAGTTTGAACATTTTAAATGGGTGAAATCATCCAACCTTAACCCAATCTATTTATCGTCGGGTTTGTGTTGACCCATATACATAATTAGGTCAAAATCTCTGATCTAAATTCAATTATTTAGTATCGGGTTCGTGTGGGATTGTCGTGTTGTATTAAATTAAAATGATTTTACATATACAATAAATAAATTAATTAATATTAATATACTATAATCGGGTTGTCATCTCGGGTTCATGTTGACCCATAAATTTTTGACCCAATTCCAATTATTTTGTGCCGGATTCATGTCAAGTTGCCATTTTGCGTTGGTTTTTATGGGCTCTAACCTATACGTTGAGCTTGAAACTATTGAATTTAGCTTCATTAGGATATTATTCTTAGTGCAACATTGAATTATCTCAAGGGTTTGTTTGTTTGGGGGATTGGATTTTAAATCCACTATTCATCCCATTTTTTTTCCCCCAAAAACATCAAATTAAACACCTATTTTTCATTTTTTATATTATACTAAAAATCAATTTTACATTCAAAACATCACATCAACACCTATTTATATCAAATTATACAACTATTCAAATTCAAAATTTTTACTATTCAAATCCCAACTCAAAATCCAAACCCCTAAACAAACACACCCCTAGTATATTTGTTTGTTTTATGAGCCTGACATCTATTACCTGGTTGCAGGAAAACATAAGACGATGTGTCTGCATCATTTATGATCCATCAAGATCCAACCAAGGTGTTCTAGCTTTGAAGGCATTGAAACTCTCTGATTCATTTATGGAACTTTACCGCAGCAACAACTTTACTGGAGAGAAGTATGTATTTCTTTCCACATTTAATTTACAATGTTGGAAACTAGAAATTTTATACATGTTACAATATTAATGCATGTAAATTACTTGTCTAATAATGGGTCGTTGCCAGGTTGAGAGAGAAGAATCTTTCATGGGTGGATATCTTTGAAGAGATCCCAGTAAACTCTTCATCCTGTTTTTGTTGTTTGATTATTAAATTATCATTTCATAATGAATTGTGGAAGTTCTAGTTGATGGAAGAGTGATTCAGCATGCTTTCCCCTGGTGTTTTTCATGTGATTGCGGGATTTAGTAGTTTTTTCAGTTGTAATAACGTTCATAGTAATGAAAAGGTGTCAGCACTTATGCTAAAGTTTCTTGTCCTGTTTCTACATTGACAGATTCAGGTTTCAAATTCTGCACTTATCAGTGCTTTTATGACTGAGCTGGAGCCTGATGCTCCTGTGACACAGGTATAATTCAATTTTGTTCCGCTTTTAATCTACTGATGCATATGAAAGTTTAATTCCGTAATGTTATTGCATGATAGTGTGATCATGAAAGATTGAACTTATCTACCAGTCCATTTTTAGAGAGAAATGTGGAGTTTCTTATTGAATGCATGGATGACTTGTCGTTGGAACAACAAAAGGTAAATATCCCCTTCTGCTCCTCATTTGTACATAGATTTCTATGATGGCCTGTTATATTTACAAAATATTTTGCTTTCCAGTTTCAATTCTACTACAGGAATCTCTCTCGTCAACAAGCTCAGCAGCAGGCCTGGCTTCAGAAGAGAAGGTAATGTCTCAGCACGAGTAATTTTTGGGGAATATATTAGGTTCTATGCGACAACTGTTGTTGCTGATTATTGTGTTTTGGTGTTGCCTTTTCTCTCCAGGGCTGAAAACATTTCTCGAAAGAATGCAGGGGAAGAACCATTGCCCGAAGAGGATCCCACAAATCCCATCTTCAAGCCTATCCCTGAGCCTTCACGACTGGAGGGTTTTTTGATAACAAATCAAATTGCAAACTACTGCAACCAAATCAATGGGTAAAGCTATAAAACCTACTTTCTGAGATTTCTTTGGGTGTGTTTGTCTGTGGGTTTGAGATTTTGGGTTTGGATTTTTGAATAGTAAAAAGTTGAATTTGAATAGTTGTTTGATGTGATATAAATAGATATTGATGTGATGTTTTGAATGTAAAATAAATTTGTAGTATAATATAAAAAAATAAAAGTAATTGTTTAATATGATGTTTTTGGAAAAAAATAAATCTAAATAGTAAAAACCTGCGGTAAAACCCACAGAAGAACACAACCTTTGTTTTTATCCTTATTTCCTTTGCTGAAAACAAGTAGATCGAATCCAGTACAAGATTATTTGGCTTATTGCTTTAGGAGGTTTTGCTGTTTGATGGTTGTTCAATGATACTGGCTTCCTGGAACTTATTTTTCTCTAAGAATAAATTGCAGCGATTTTTGTATACAGGCACGCCAATGGTTTAGAAGTGCATGAACAAAAAATGTGTTGCTACCTGCTATTCCTACTTTCGTTGCTTTCTGAATATGTAGACAATAGTTATATTGAGGATTCGGTGCTTTAAAATTGGTCAATTTTGTAATTAACTACATTAAAGTCAACCTATTGGTCTTGTGTATTTGTTTGTTCTCTTGTTGGTGGTAGTGTTACTCATCAAAATATTTTACCCTTCCCTATTTCATCTAGAAAATTTTGAGTTCGACTGTGTATATGGATGGGATGGTATGATCATCATGTTATGCCCATTTCTTCTAAAATTCTCCTGAAAAGGATCTCGTATGATGAATGACTTTCAGGGTGGCTGGGCAAAGTTTTAGTAGACTATATCTGATGAAGGCTCTTCACGAAAAATAGATGGCCGGGCTATTGCTGTTCCTGAGCTCCATCGGGCAGGGTAAGCATTGTTATTTATTTAGCTTCTTGCAAATGAAAATTTTGAGCTACCATTTGCTGTTCAGACGCATACTATGTTAAAACCAATGTTGAACAAGTGATGATATCACGAGACACTGGAATTCCGATTGTCGTGTAATAGCTATATATCATTGTTTTTTGTTTTTAATTTCGGATACATGATGCTTTTTATCTGTGCCTGGTTTTTTTATTTATGTGGCGAATTTTGAATTTTGGGTGTTGGTATTATGTTGTGGAGTAGTTTGAGCTTTGATACTTATAACAAAGTTGTAAAGTTACTGTCATTTACTTTGATTGATGATGTTAGAGCTATTACGATTTTCATGAATATGAGAGCACTTTGAAAATATTGGAAGTTTGGTTTGTTAATTTTATGGAAATGAAATATTATTTGAATGTTTTTTAAATTATGCTCCTTTGCTCTTGAGATTTTATTTTTTGTAGGGTAAATTTTTCTCTTAGTCCTGTAATTAATTTTTTAAATTATTTTTGTCTCGTAATTGAATATTGTCTTGCAATATTCTAAGTAAGTGAAATTTTTTTTGCACATTTAGGCCTCCGTCTGTAGATGTCCCACGTGGCATGCAGAGAACAGTTGAGCTTTGATTATACAATTTATGCAGAGAACAGTTGAGCTTAGATGTCATTTGGTACTATTTATTTTTTAAAAACATCACATCAAATATATTTGATTTTTCACTAAATATCAAATCAAATACTAATTTTTTATTTATTATTTTTAAATACATCAATTTTAAAAAATAATTCTCCATCCGTAACAAAAGATTTGTCTTATTTTTTTATTTTCGTTCGTATCAAAACAATTGTCTTGTTTCTTTATTCAGTAGCCGTGGTCTTCACTTTATAATAAAATTATTCATATTTTTTCATATTATCTCTAATTATTATTTTAATATACTCTTTAGAATCTTTTTTAGTCATTTACATTCTACTTTATATCCATTTTTAATTAAATACCATTATTCTTTAATTTCTATGCCAACTCTCAATAAGATTTCTTTTGAGATGGAGGGAGTAAAAAGTAAAAGTATATATTAATTTTTTTGTAGTAATGAAAATATATTTTATTTTATTTTTAAAAATACATCAATTTTTAAAAATAAAAATACATTTTTCATCTGTCCGCCGAGTGGTGTTTATGTGGTATGGTTGCTATTCAGACATCTTTGGCGCCGAAGGCTAAATGTAAAAGAATATTTATTTACAAGCCTGGTTATACATTAACATTTTGAACTTTTGGAGTTTAAAAAAATAAATTAGGATAGTAAAAAGTTACAATTTGATGGAATAGCATTGAGTTACATAAATATATTTAATCATTATACTCTTTTTTCTCCTTTAATTTTGGCCTATTTTCTTTGTGAAGGAAAAAAAAAAGGATTAATATTGGTGGGAGACTATTTTTTTAAGAGAAAAAATGCTAATAAATCATGTTAGGTCTTATTTATATATATATATTTTTATAATTGATACAATATTTAAAATTAAATTTGTATTTAAAATATTAATTAATACTCTCCGATCCAAATCAAGATTTTTTTAGTAAATTAAAAATAATTGTATTTTATAGATTATTAAAAATATAAAATATATTTAATATTTTTTTCTATAAATGAAATGAATATTTTGTAAAAATTTAAAATATTTTGATATAATTATTTTTACTATAATTACAAATAAATATTTTTTTAGTGAGATGAGTTGGAACTAAGGAGTATTTATTTATATTATACCAAATAATTATTTTAATTTCAAATTTTATTATTTAAAATTTAATTTTTAAACTCATGAACAAACACATCTTTAAGGGTTTGTTCACTTTCATTATTATTCTCCTATCATCAAAATTTATGTCTTTTTTTTGTTATGTCAATTTTTTTTTTTTGTTGTCATAATTTTTTTTTTCGTTTTCTTTAATATATAATATTGGATTTGTTTGCTCAAAATTATATTTTCGACACGATTTTGATATATATTTTATATTTTCACAAAAGTTAATAGTCCATATTCAATATAAAACATTATTTATTATATTAGCTATACGATTTTTATACTCCACAAAAAAAAATTAAAATAAAAAAAATCAAAATATTAAACAAACAAATCCCCTAATTTTATTTATTTTTACTCTTTTCACTATATAAGAAAAAAAATTATTATTACTCACTTTTTTTAAATTCGAATTTTATAGAATAGACATAAATTTTACATTGAGGTAATATTATATTTTTAATAAAATATCAATTTTTACTAACAAAATATTAAAAAAATAATAAAATAATATTTTAATACTCTCTTATTGCACGTTATTTCCTCTTTCCCTTTGATAAATATAAATTCTATCATTTTCTTTATTGTTTCAAACATTAAGTATAATATTTTTATAACTTTTAATAATTACCATTAAAGCTTTTCAAAAAATTTTAAACATTAAAATAAAAATACAAAGATTTTGAAATATTAAATTACATTGCTTATATTAAAAATTAATTTTATATTCAATAATATTATTAGTAATATTTATTTATATATTAAATCAAATAATTATTTAAATTTAAAATATTTACTATTTAAAATTCAAACTTAAAATTAAAATTTTCCAAACAACTAAATTTGAGTTAGTGAGTTTAGTTAAAATTGATTTGAAATAAATTGTCAATTTAAATTTTTATTTAAATAATATTTTAAAGTGATATTTTATGAAATGAAATATTTCCTTTGTCCCATGTAAATTGTCCCCATAGATATAGGAATTTAGATAAAATAAGTAGCATGTAATTAAGAAGTATATTAGTAAAAATAATTATTGTATAATAAAAATAATCATAAATTAAGATTATGATAATTAAATAGTTTAATTAAGAATTAAAAAAAAATTGTAAATTGTGAACTTTTTAAAAGAGTATAAAATTATATTTAAAAGAAAAAGAAATAACAAATTACGTGGGAGATACCAAATAGAAAATGTGGATATTTTATATGAGACGAAGGAAGTAATATATTTTTATAAAAAATTGTGCTGAATAAATAGTAATAATATTAATTTATATTTGAAATATTAACAAAAAATGCTTAATTAAGGAAACTTTAGGGACGGTTTGATTCAAAGATTTAATGAGATTATATGAGATTTGGATTCTATTCCATGAAATTCATGTTTTGGTTAAAAGAAAAGATAGAAATTTAAAATGATGAAATTTAAAAAGAGATTTAAAATCCTACAAATGAGAGATTTTTTATTTTACAATGGACTATCCCCGTTAGTTTTAAATTCCATTAATGTGATTTTAAATTTTACTTTTATATCCTCTTATAAAAGAAATAATATTATATATTATAAATATATTTATATAAAATAAAAATTAAATAATTTAAAATTAATTATATATTTAAGTAAATTTAGTATTATTTTTTATGGTACAATATTTTTTAAAATAAAATAATAAATTTATTGTTTTAAATTATTATTTATTATAATATTTTATTTTAATTATAAAATTATAGGGATGAAAATGAGTTTTAGCCGGAACTGAAATTCGTCTCGAATATATATAGTTAGATCCGAGATCCAAATTGGATCCGATTATACCGGATTTGACGAAAATTATATCCGGTAAGACCGGATGGATTCGACAAATCCATTTTTCTTTGGTACAATTCTTAAATTTTGATTTAAAATTGCATATGTACCGGACCTAATATATATTAAAATTTATGTATTTTATTAAAAAATATTATAATAAAACAATGAATAAATTAAACTCAAACAATATTTTATAATATAATTATATTGTTAGAACTTATTTTTTCATATGTGTAGTTGATATATTATTACTATATTACCCCGAAGATGATCCAGACTCAACACTCAAATAATTGGACTCAACTTCAAATAAATAGGTCGGGTCTGATAAACTAGTTGGGCCATTTGTTTTGTTACCTAACATTGGGCCATTTAATTAGTTTAGTTTAGCCCATTCAGTACAGAGTCTTTCGCGATCAATTTTAGAATAAGAAAAATTTCTCTTCCTTGTTTTTCCCTAAAATCGTCATGGTATCAGAGCGCATGAGTTCGATCGATTACTGATTGATTACCGATCTTCTATTTCATTTGATTAATTTGATTTGTGATTTTGAATTTCACTGAGATCGATTAATTCTCATCTTCGTGGTCTGTTCTGCTGCTATTATTTTCGTGTTGCAGTTTGTTTGAGAAATTACACAATGACTACAGATCTATCACTCTCTTCTGGAAACACAACTAATTCATCCTTGGAAATCTCTTCCCATGATCAACCTAGCATGAGTCTTGTTCGTCTTCAACTCACGGAGACAAATTACTTGATATGGAGCACAGTGGTCTTAAGAGCTCTCTCAGCAAAAGGAAGAAAAGGATTCGTGACTGGGGAAATTAAGCAACCTGAAAACGCAATAGTTGCCCTAGAATGGAAAAGAAATGATGATTTGGTACTTGGCTGGCTGTTGAATTCGATCTCTCCCCAAATTACAGTTGCGTTCAGTCTCATCAAGACAAGTCATGAGTTATGGGAGAAACTCAAACTTCGTTATGGTCAGCACAACGACCCTCTCATTTACCAAAAGAGGAGAGAAATCAGTAGGCTCTATCAAGATAATTTCTCAATGGCTGCATACTTCAATAAAATGCAGAGTTTGAAAGATGAGTTGTCTTGTTTGGCACATATGCCTATTGATAGAAATGAAGTTGATCTGTATCTCCACAACCTATATGCAATTGATTATCTGATGGGCTTAAATGACAATTTTGATGCTGTAAAGAACCAAATATTGATGATGGATCCTTTGCTGGATGTAAACAAGATATACGGTATACTCTCAACTGCAGAGAAACAACAAGAGGTACATGATATGTTAAAAGATCCTTCACCCACTGTGTTACTTGCTAACTCAAGAATCAGTGAAAGAAAGCTGGATAAGTCATTAAAAAGGAATTTGGTGTTTGATCACTGCAAGAGAAATGGACATGTCAAAGTTGAGTGCTTCAAACCTCATGGCTATCTTGAGTGGTATAAGGAAAAATTGGATAAGAAAAGAAGGGAGAAGGGTGAGGTTAAATTGCAAGCATGTGAGGATACAACATCAATTGCTTCCTATAATGCTGGATTTAACTCTG